CTATCAATATGTATACCGAAATCCTGCAAGTGTTCCCATTGGGGCTTTATAGATGGGAGGCTAAATCAAGTAAATGTACACATATGCACATACGACCACATCAAAATAAAAAATTGTAATATTGATAGATGTCATAAGGACCATGTACCCTATTTTTCTGACTGACTGACTGACTGACTGACTGAGTATGGTTTTACGCCGCTTTTAGCAATATTCCAGCAATATCACGGCGGGGACACCAGAAATGGGCTTCACACATTGTACCCATATTTTTCTGAAAAGACACACTGGCAGTATCGTTTGATGATGCCTTAATTGTCCGATGATTTTCATAATAATTATAATACAGTTATATAGCGCAGCATACACCATGCTGTATGCTCTGTGCCCATTTGATGCTGATAATAATGAGAACGACTTCGCAGATCAGTTAAAAAGGACAATTTTCGCATTCTTCTTGACGATGGTCAGATTTTGTGAAGATTTGATGTCGTGAGTCAAAGCATTCCATTTGCTAGTTGCTGAATATTGAAAGCATCTCTTTTCAAAATTGGAGGGTTTTATGCATAATTGTCTAAGTTCATGAGTTGCAGACTAACGTAATGGTCTCCGAATATCTATGGTTGATTTGTTGTAGATGCGAGTCGCTGCTGCTACTACTGGACCATCTGAAAGTGACAGAGACTAGCAAGGTGGAATCTCACGAGCTCCAAGTGGGAACCTGCATCAGCAGTCTAGGGGAGGTAACCCAGGGAGTAGAACACATGATGAAAGGGTCCGGTGTCCTTGACCTTCTAGCAAACAAGACTTACCTCAAGGAGAAAGCAGACGATACTGTAAGGAGCATCCCAGCATTCATAGAGAAAATCAGCGTCGTCTACGATCGTAAAAACCCCGACGGCTTGGCTCAAAAGATTGAGTGTGCTTTTGGTTATCTCAGCACGGAGAAGGATATGAGCGGGGGAGATGACAGGGAGGCTGTCTTGGACCCTCCGACAACCCCTGGCCTGTTTACTGGACAACCTGAGGAGAATGTCCAGCAACCTGTTCTTGAGCAGTTCAACGTAACGCCCAGCAGACCCGGCCTGATACAGCGGGCCGTGTTTAAAGTTAGGCCTAACAATGCAGGCATCAGATTCATTGTCCCAATACCTAGCCTGGGGATTGTGATCGGCTACGACTCGAGCCCCCGGCACCTGGACGTCGTTGACGAAGTCGGGAACAAGATCCAGACCTACGACGCCGTGCCCAACACCTCCTGTGCGCTACTTCTGGGGCAAACCAACCTGGCGTTATGCACGTCCACACCGCGACAACTGAGCCAGAGACGGCTGCCACAGTTCAGCTCCATCTCGTACCGCACCAGCGAACTGCCCTTCACACCCACAGGGCTCGCCGTCAGGGACCCTCGGGAGCTTATCATCTGCGGCAAGGAGAAGGCGGGCATTGGAACCGGCATATACAGATACAGGTGAATGGAACTCAGATAATATGTCTACACAGTCACTCTCGTCAGCACGACGGAACTAAATAACAGAAAGAGCCTATAAAATGAGCACTTAGTCTGTAGCTGTGACATTTTCGACATCTCCTCAGAAACGCTATAAAACCTGAAGCTGAGATGCTGCAATCCAGTGTCGATCTCAAAACATGGACGCTGCGATATCGCCATATTTAAACTACACTTTACCATAAAGTTCTGCAGTGTATAAAATTCCCCCAAAATGTCAATCAGACAACCGCACTGGCAACATTGCAAAGTTACCAGACCAGATAAAATGTTGTCAGTGCAGAATTTTCTTAATTTACGAGCAAAGGAAACAAAGGGGGGGGGGGGGGGGGGCATAAGACTAGTACTCATTAATGTTAGTTCTTAGAAAATAACAATTAGCTGGTAAATTGTCATCTTAGTAACTTTAACTCTCCACCATCCGGCCGTGAGACCGTACGTCAGCAAAACAGGCCGTATTTTAAACACTGCCATTACCCAAATTTCGAAAATTGAGGTGAGGTGAGGTGAGGTGAGGTTTAACGTCGCGTCCAAGATTGTTGCACTTATATAGCGACGTGCATGTACGTGTATGTGTTTGTGTGGCTGCTTGTACTAGTCCGGACTGATGCCGATTTATAGTGCTAGCTCACTGAGATACCATGCCGCAGTTTAACATGAATACCTCACTCAGACACAGTATACTGACTCCGAGCCGACCAGTCCTTGTTTTAGCCCCTTAATGCCGAGCGCCAGACAGGGTAACAACAAGTACCACCTTTTAACGTCTTTTGGTATGACGCGGCCGGGGATCGAACCCCACACCTTCCGCTCTCCGGGCGGACGCTCTACCACTAGACCACGTCGAAAATTGAGATGCAGTACGTGTATGCACAATAACAGTGTGATTTATTCTCTTAAATAAATCTTGAAATTGGACATTAATGTATTTCATAAACATATGAAATGTAACTAAGAATACACTTATAGTACTCCACTACGACTCCCTTATTTCAGGGGCGGTCTGGTGGCCTAGTGGTTAAAGCGTTCGCTCGTCACGCCGAAGACCCGGGTTCGATTCCCGACATGGGTACAATGTGTGAAGCCCATTTGTGGTGTCCCCGCCGTGATATTGCTGGAATATTGCTAAAAGCGGCGTAAAATCATACTCTCTCACTCACTCACTCCCTTATTTCAACCAAATTAACAGTTCCATCTTACCGAATATTCCCGTAAACCTGTCGTTAATATTTTAACACAATCTCTTTTTCTTTAATTTATATAACCTCAGACATCATCCTTCCGTTCATTTCAGCCTGGAAACTAAACAGATTCGCTGTGTGTACGCAAATGGTGACCTTCACATTCTAAAAGCGCCCTCTAGTGTCGTAGTCACTCAAGATGGCGACGCCGAGGTGTTCGTCGTATCTGACCCAAAGCGCAAGGCCGTTTTCTTTTTCGACATAGCGGGGAACCTCCTGAATACTTTCCCCACACAACGCTGTAGCTTCTGTCCAGAGGGTTTGTGCTGTGACGCTGAGGGCAACGTCCTTGTCGCCGACAAGGGAAACAACTCTGTCGTGCTTCTGTCCCCGATGGGCGTATTCATTCAGGAACTAACGAGAGGCGTCAACCCCCGGGCCCTCAGCTTTGACGGGGCGGGGAGACTGTGGATGGGGGAGTCTGAGGGAACGATTACCATCTTTGATTATGTCATGTAGATTGAGAGGGGATTTATATTTTATACCGTTCTTAAAAATATTAAGTTTCATAAATGGACTGGAAACTATTCTCCTCCATATTTTGTAGGCATGTTTTAAGAAAATATTTCTATTATATTACGTATAGATTTTAGAATATATATTATGTTTTCTACTAAAAATATATCATGTAACATTTTCACTTGATATCAATTTTTTTCGCGGATCAGAAACCATATAAACACATTAAAGGTGTCTTAATATATATACTATACAAATTAAATTATAACAGGGTTAAATTGTGTATTTATGTTTGGAATAAATATGTTCTTACAATCATTTTGGTGTCTTGCCGGCTTGAATGTTTCATACCTTCCAAAATATGAGGAGATGAGGGCATGGCTGTACTACCCAGGTAAGGTTCGTGGTTTGTGTTGGCTTTCACAACAGATTGGTAGTAAATAAATAAATGGAAATCCGGATGGTTACGGCCAAGAACGTCTAAACGTTGCCACGTGTCCTTATTTGTACGTCCGCAGAATTTCACTGGAAACGGTACTGCCTGATGCAACGAAGTTTAAATGGGCCCTGATCTCTGACAATTCTCACAAAGCGATCGTATCAATTCGGCTTTTGTAAGCTATGCTTATTGTTGGAGTTAGATAGTCGAAGCTCGAGTCACTGGCCTAATTCCACTATCTCCCATTACTTAAATATAGAGCGTCCCAGCGATATGGACGCTTTGCGTAACGGGACCATGGCTGTATGTTTGTCTGTTGTTTAACGCCGCACTCAGCAATATTCCAGCTATATGACGGCGGTCTGTATATAATCGAGTCTGGACCAGACAATCCAATGATTAACATCATGAGCATCGATCCACGAAATTGGGATCGATAACATGCATCAACCAAGTAAGCGAGCCTGACCACCCGATCCCTTTAGTCGCCGCTTACAACCATCTTCCCGAGGCAAGAGAGTAAACTGACTTTAAAAGTCCAGTTTCCACCCTTGCGGAACTAGGCTGGAATTACTTGGCTCGATCGTAGCGCCACCAGTGGCTATTACCAGTTATGCCCCTTCTAAGCCTATCCTATTGACCAATCAGATTCCACCTCTCGCATCACTTGCGTTTGTTTCACACAAAATGGTGGCGCCGAGTCAGGACTATCTGATCGATAATCAAGATCTATATTGTGATAAAACGGGTCTTATATCGCGAAATGCGTCAAATCACGTGAGCACCTTGATTAAAAACATGTAAAGATTTGGAAAATATTTGCTGACAACGAGTTTGCGGTGAACATGCTTTGCAAACCTTGCAATCGACCGGAATCTGCACGTCAGTTTACGAACCGGATTTCGATTTCGGTGCGCGATTTTGATTGGACTATGCATAGACTCGTTAGTCCCGCCAAAATATAACTCCATAATACCAGCCTAGTTCGGCAAGGGTGGAAACTGGACTTTAATAGACAGTTAACTCTCTTGCCTCGGGAAGATGCTTACAACAAGCATACTCGCCTTTTACGGCAAGCATGGGTTGCTGAAGACCTATTCTACCCTGGATCTTCACGGGTTTGGCTGTAGGTATGTCAGTGTGTGTGTGTGTGTGTGTGTGTGTGTGTGTGTGTGCGTGTGTGCGTGTGCGTGCGTGCGTGCATGGCTCTTTCACCCCACATTTTCTGACTCACACAAAGCGGCGTGAAAGAGACATTTAACAACATCGTAAAACCCAATTCAGTCAATGTTCATCGCCATTGGCATTCATTTGTCTTTTGGTTGCAAGCCGGAAAAAAACTGAGACGGCATCGATAAAGATAAATTTAATCACATATATAAATTAAGGACTTTTTGTCAATTTACAAGTGTGTGAATGCAGATATACACACTGGGTGTCCAGAAATAACGCTTTATTAGACTCCTAATACTTCTAACACAAGTATGTTTTTTAAACAAAGTCATGTAAAACATTGGACAAGGCCTACTTGCGTGTATGCCATTATGCAAATCAGCAGCTTAGCTTGTCATTAATATGTCTAACAAAGTAACATGTATCCGTTTTACCTGACCGTGAAATGGCTTGTAACAGTCTGGAGCAAGGGACAAGGAACAGGACTCAAAATAACTGATATTTACAATCATAAAACTAAGGAAATTAAACATCGATATTTTAGATAAAGTTCTGAACGTTTTGAGCAGATACACTACTGTCCGAAACAAATGTTCTCTAGATTGCTTAGATTAGTGTGTTTTATTGGGATTCATTTTTAAAGGTTGAATTTGATGAAAAGTGCATCAGACAGCTCCAGAGCTAAAAACATAATCTGAGAACAAAAAACAATCTGAGAAGAACTCACAAAATGTTTCTTAGTATGCGATTATTTCAACGTCATCGGTGAGTCTATTTTCAAGCATCAAGATGCACAATATCGGCACTAATAACTAAATTTAATGCATAATTATTATAATTGAATGAGTAATATCATAACGCGAATAAAACACCGCAAATTCCCTGACCGTATACAAAACAAGACATGGAGGCTCACCGTTACGATGTTCAAGTCACATTCTGTTTTTAGCCCTATGCTGAGGTGTCATGACATTCATATCAGAAGCTGGATGAGTGAGTGAGTTGGTTCAGGTCCGACTTAAACAGTGTTTCAGTTATATCACGGCATGCAAGCTTGGACGCAAGCACAGACCGTTGTCGTTTACCCCTTTGGGGAAATAAACGGGCACCGGTAGGGAGCTGACAGACCAACGATCGGGAAGAACATGAGATTCAAACCCACGATCAGCGAGTCCTAACACTTAGAGGACGCAGCTCTGCACAGCGAACACCGTGCCCACTGGGCCAACCAAGCTTCATTGAAGACGATCCACATGGTTGCAGCTAGGGTTGCTGGTACTGTTGTAAAGGCCTGAAGTAGACTATGGACACGTGAACAGGAATGACACAGAAGACAGATGAATGACATTATGATTATGGTACAAAAAGCACTGGAGCATACGCATTTTAATGTCAATATTAGCTGTAAGACTAATAAATGAGGTTACACAGGAAACAATCAAAGAGGTACTAGGCTCCAAAGTGTTTTGCTCATTGCCAGTTTCTTTGAACTAATTGTGCGGTCCTGGTACATCGTCTCCGTGTCATTAGGATATTCCTAAGGGAGTTTGGTTTAATGCCGCATTGAACAGTATTTCAGCTGTATGACAGCGTGCCAGCTTAATGTGAGGGGAAAGTCCGAAATGATGCAGGTCTCAGACATTTACCACTTTTGTGAAACCCACGTGCACGGTAACCAAGAAACATAATCTGATTGGATCTTGAATTCGAACTTGGCACGGACGTCTGAACAGTGAATCGCTGCGTCTTAGACGACAAGAACACCTGTCTCCGGATTGTGATAAACCTTTCAATGACACTAAAGACTACCAGGTGGTACGATCCTAGTGCCACTTCAAGGAATTCGTTTACAACCTGAAAAGGATGGAATGACTGAGCACTGTTAACCTTTACAAGCCTAATGTCTCAAAAGACACCCCAAATAGGACTACATATTTGCTGGACACAGTGTCTCATCCCATATAACAAAGCCGCTTTGAACAGTATTTCACTAGTATCACGATGTACCAGTTCATGATGAAGTAAAGCCCAAAGAGACGCAGATTGTCGAAAACCGATTTTTCGAACCAATCACGGGTACTGTGTTGTAACAAGGGAATATAAATGAGGCGAATCTGAAACTCGAAGGCACGATCCTTGATAGGATCGTCATAAGCGAAAGGGAGGTAACTTTGCATGTGAATTGCGGCGCCGTAGACGACTGGACCACCCGCTCCCTTCTTTTGAATGTACATGCAATATTACGAAACATACAAATAGATTGAAGTTCTTATATACATATTAACAGCGCAAGCATAATGTTCACAGATCTACGTCCTGATAACTAAATACTAACACAGAGGCGACACACTATCTAATACTGTCTGAACATACATGTATAGCACCTTAAGGATTATCAGCAAAAAAGGGGCACTTGAGTTTGGTGCCAAATATACACAGAATCGGAACATGGTTTGTAATTAGCATTAGTACAAGACAGGTCTGGAACGTCGCGTGTCTTTGAAATTAGTAGAACGCCATTTTCAAATGACGCGCCCAAGCAACTTCAACTGCGATTGGTGCTCTGAAGATTTTTCGACCAATGACATGCAAGGTTACTTCATCTTGCTACGTCATCACGTGAGGTTATCTGTAGTAATAGAAGTAGCTAGGCAGGTGCGTTTTTTCTGTCCTCATCCCTGTAAAACAAAAGAATTCATAGCAATATTATGTAGTTACTCATTGACACATACAATTACATACGAAGAGGCCTTACATAGTGAAGTTAAATCTCTGTGTTATACTTCTTATTAATTAATTTAAGATGAATAAAACAATATTAGAAGTAAAGATATATTTTTAGGTTTTATATGTAGGTTTATAATGTAATATACATGAATATATTATTGTATTTCCCATTTAGTACCATGTACAGAAAACCCCGTAGATTTAAATTTTAGTAAAATATATTTGAAAGCTGCGAAAGCATGTTTAGACACATGTACATAGGTAAACTAACCACAGTTCTTGAAACAAAGATTTGCATCATCAAAGATCACAGCACAAAGTGATCTGAATTTATCACAAACATGTTCAAATATCCCAATACACGACATATCTGGGAAAAGAAACCAATTCAATGCCTCCAATTCTAAAGTCAATAGCGTTGTGGCAAGCAGATTAATTGCAAGAGCACACATTCTTTTTCTGTTATAAACTCTCCATTCGACCTTTCGATGATCGAAAACAAATCTGTGATGCTGTGATTGCTCAACGAAGAAAAGAGCAAAACATGAAATCATATGAATAATAAAGATATAAGGCGTATTCTTAAGTACTTGGTTTACGGATCCAATGTTAAAGAAATCACAAATTTGAAATTCATGTTTGTTTCGCTGCGTTTTTTCATTTCTAACCACATGAATTGAATTTTTTATTTTATTCAAAACACCAACACTATAGTTTGAGAACAAAATCCATAATCCAAGTATTAAAAAACTAAACTGTAACTGTAAATTGGAGCAAATAAATTTGAAATTAAGAATCAACGTTAACGTCATCAGCATGCGGCGTTACCACGGCGGTGGTGTTCACTGTGGTGCTGGGGGAAACTTGAGGCGTCCACTGAAACACGGACTGGGACGCCTGAGTGTTTAAACAAGTGTAAATATTGGACAATCTTGGTCAGCGTGACCGGGAAATCTATGGAGAGTTCCCAAAGCTTTAAATACGTGGTAATCTGAGCAATACGCTTAAAGCGACCTTGAAAACCTGTTATTCGATTCAAGGCAAGTCTGAAGTGCAAGATACTTAACACAAACAAAACTGCACGAGACACATATCGGTACGCACACAAAGCAAAGTTATGTCTTAAATGCACACACTTATTTTCATTTATTAAATGAATATTTAATTGTTCTATTAATTTCAGTGATGAGTCGATTTTTCTTCTGACAGCATAATTTTGACACTGAACACATTTTTTAAGCAACGAACATAGACACATTTATTCAAATTTGGCCACGTCATGGAGGGGGTAAATCACATGTGCTATATCGTAGCCTCACAACATACATTAACTAGATCTGAGGTGATCACAAGCGCATACTCCCATCTTAAGCATTGTGTTTTATTTGCATAACGTTTGTTTATTTAACGCCACACAAGATTTACATGTTTTTTATCGCCTCCATGGTCCAGTGGTTAGAGTGTCTGCCTGGAGAGCGTAAGGTCGGTGGTCGTGACTATCAAAACACTACAAGATACTTGTTGTTACCCTGCCTGGCGTTCGGCATTAAGGTAATAAAACAAGAACCTAGTCGCCTCGGAGTCAGTACAATGTGTCTGAGTGGGGTATCCATGTTAAACTTCGACGTGGTATCTCAGTGGGCTAACACTATAAAACCGGCGTAAGTCCGGACTAGTACAAGCAACTAACCACACGTGATTACACGTCGCTATGTAAGTGAAATTAGCTTTAACGAGACGTTAAACCCAATTTCACCTACTTGATTTTCACCTTTTTCTAACTCTTGTAAACTCTTTTAAATTGCTAAGGAAGTAAATGTTTTAGAATTTCCGTATTGGATAAAATCATGACATTCAACCTCTGTGTACCTTAGACACTTAAACGGACTTAATTTCGCAATTAGTGATAGGAGAAAGACGATCTACTCTAACGCATTTTCCATCTGTAACACAAGACACAAGACACAAGACAAAAGCCACGTGCCACATTCACTATACACACATACAAGTACAACATACATGTATATAAAGGATTGTCGGGCAATACATATCCCTGCACACTAGCAACATAAACTTTAATTTGGTGTTGGATGATGTCGAAAATTGCGTCCATCGTCCTTGACCTTTGACGGCGAATAACGTCAACAAAATCATGACTACAAGCTATATCACTTTCGATATTTACTATTTACTGCTCAAGCAACAAAATTAACATCATGAAGGGATATAAATATATAAATATGACGTCAACAAACACATAACACGTAAACAGGATTATGCGTACAAGAGCATTTTACAAAGCATATATACATGTATATAATACCAGCAACACTTTTTCAAAGTGTATATCAAAGGCAAAAACCTTCACCACAACTTTTATCTACCATAGCAGCGGCTATGTATGTGTGTAAGGACTTACCTCAACCATTAGGATATCGCTATCTACATGTGCTTCTATGCCTACTCTCATATCTTGCTATCAGACAGTTATTCGTTGTTATTTGTCCCCATCAATCGGGATTAATCCACTTTCTAAGTTTTCTACATGATGTGGATCAGTTAGAATCAATCTGGACACTATATAAATGACACAAATGGTTTAGAATAGCGACTAGACACTATAGCATTGGCAACTCACGACTCGCCGACTTTGCGCAGTTCTTATCAAGGCATTTCAACATCATTCGTATTTTCACATACGATTTTCCATTATAGGACTCAATCCGCCTGCCCTAGGAGGAAAATTCGGGACATGTAGGGATGTTGTTATGTTATTTAGGAAGGCAATATGTAACATTGGTACATTGGTGAGTCTTTTTATTTCCATTTGATTTAAGTTGGTTAAATGACAAGATCTATATAGACACAGAAACTTATCTTTTGATGTCAATCTAAAATAGAATCTCTTTCGATGTAGTTCCCACAAACTAATGATTGAACGGGAAGACACAGAAAAAACCATAGACAATTAATATTTTGCACTGAATGTAATCTAGACCTTATTGAAGATGAATCACTTCCTGTTAATAGGCTGTAAATATGATAATCTAAAGCGTATATTATCAAGACTCCAAATATCTAGTATACATTTTTTCTATCTATTTATATCTTCAGTTAAGATAGGTATTATCCATTGTCCATGTATATTTATAATTCTATGTCAGTTATAAATTAATTTATATTAAATATCTACAACCTAAATGCTGAATACTATGGGCCTGTGGTCTCAGTTTTGTATGAATAAATTATCTATCTAAGACCTATATATTTATTTACGTCACTGGACATTATTTGCTTGTGCTTGTTCTAGATTTTTCCTTCTCTGTGGAAAGTGATTAGGCTCGTTCTTGATATAAATGAAAAGTAAAATATAGTTAATATACATGTATAGTGCAAATCACTCAAACCGCGCGTCAAACATATTAATATTAATGATTTGAGGTAAATCAATGCTAATTGTATGGGCAATATTTTTCATGACCTGAACAACTCCTTTACATTTGTTTAAATTTAAACAGGATAAAGGTCCCACTTTCGTCAATTACATTCACTAGTAATGTATCTTAACTTTTGGTTTCATTGACCATATAGACCATATCTACCAAGTGGGTCTAACGAACAAGACAGCACAGCTCTCATCACGCAAACAAGAACACAAATGACAACTTGCCTTCTCTGAATCGGCCTTGCAACACGTCCGTTAGGATACAACAAACTGCTACTAATAAACAATTAATGCGAGCAGAAATTAATGCGTACAACGCGACAGGCTTTCACTCTTTAAAATGATGCCTTAAAGTTGAAATTTAATTTGTTTTAGAAGAGGATAGGGCACGTGGACATATCTCGCATTAATATCTGATTTGAAGTCGCGTCTCGCATTAATTTTATGATGCATTTATTTCGTGATTTATAAAATGAGAAAGGTCGGCTGTAACTGATAGTAAATAATTTTTATTATGAAATGTTCCAATGATCTATGACAGGAATCTTTTCTATGCATTACGATCTAAATGTTTATCCGATGACCAAACTTTCGAAGCGATTGGAACATCGTTTGAAGCTGAAATATATTTTCACACATTTGGTATTCAGAAACTTTCATATGATACTGGCAGATTGTGTTTTGGTCGAGCCATCTCTTAGAAAATGTGGCCGTCGGAGTTTGAAAGAGATTATTATGTTTAGATAATTAGGACGCCGTTATCTCAGCATCCTCTCTTACCCATCTTAGTCTCCGCTGACAGAAACGTCCTCTGAAACCCCGTCTACAGCGACATGTCTGCGGGGCAATGCACCGACCCCCGTGACGACATCGGGGCCAACATAACGCTGCAAGCAGAAATCATGAGAGTTATTGAGTTTTTGATTCACGCTCTCTCTCGACCTGTAGGCAATTTCAAAAACTGATTTTACGTAAAAAAACGTTGCGTAATAACGCGTTGCGGTTGCTGGACTACTGACAACAAGATTGCCAATTTCTAATAAAGAAACTCCGTCGAACCTAAGAGCGCCCTATTAAAAATCTCACTCAAACGCATTCAGTTTGAAATGAAAGGTACATTTTTCGAAATTATGTTTGAAATACCTCTATTCTTTTGCAGCAAAGCATTGCAATGGGGAGTGAGTGAGTATGGTTTTACGCCGCTTTTAGCAATATTCCAGCAATATCACGGCGGGGGAAACCAGAAATGGCCTTCACACATTGTGCCCATGTCGGGAATCGAACCCGGGTCTTCGGCGTGACGAGCGAACGCTTTAACCACTAGGCTACCCGACCGCCCCTTGCATTGCAATGGGGTCTATTAGAAATCCCCCCCCAAAAAATCGACAGAGTTGTCTCCCCGGACTACTCTCCACTTCCGGCGCGTATAGTCGAAACGAAACATGGCAGATGTTGACAACGTGACAGTTGTTTATGAATAACAGCCACTTTATTCTTCACATCGACTTTCCAGGTTGCCTTCATTAGGTGGCCAGTATTGACTTAATATGCATACGTGCTTATATGTGTGCAAAAGGTTCGCCTGATGTACAAACATAACAATATTATGACCCTCCTGACTACGACATTTGCTGGCAACAGACCAAAATTCTCCATACCAACATCACTGGAAAAAACGAAACTATTGAAATATATAGAAAGCCAGCCATTCACAGAGACCACTGTCAACTTAGAATTAATAAATATAATTTCTGAATCATTTGCCACAATATTAAGAAAATCCTTCATTATGATGACGGTACACACTCATAAACCACTGAAGTGTAGTGTCACATTTAGGGCAAGAACATTCCTCAGCATATATTACACCTTGTCATATGATGCAAAGCATCAAAGGAGAATTTGACATAAAACCTGCGTTTCCTATATCACATGTCCATTCCACATGCTGACTCACGTTTCTGGCAGCTGGCCCCGGCGTACCCCCGCCTACAGACGCAGATGTCTGGCTTGAAGCACACCCCTCCGTTCTGGCACGACAGATGACACACAGCTGACGAAAGAAGGGATGTTGAAATAATCTGTCAGCCCGTGTAACGAAATGTTCCACATCTTAAAATGATTCCTGATATCTTGACAACATTTCTCATTGTACTGGGTGTGATATTAGAAATTCACATATTGATATCAATCAATGTGTACCTGATATCATCAAACATGTCAACTATATGAACATTTAACTTACTGATATCATTCAGTTACAGATATACACTGATTTATTGACAACCTCCGGTCTACCCGTTTCTGGTATCAAAAATAAAATTGAAGATATCCAAATAAATTTGAAGATATCCCGATATTATTTAATGATATCCTATATTGTTTGATAATGTCGCGATATGTGTTTTATTATTTTAATTTACACGCTACATAATAATTATAATACATTCATGTCATGATATCATTAATTCAATTATTGATATCCTCAATATGCACATATTTCGTAATACCAATATCGGTATCATAAAAAAGATGTTATTCATTGACAAAATGAAACTCATTGAAAGATATCATAAAAAGTACTAACGATATCAATAATTGCACCTTAAATGTGAAAACTCAGCGTCCCCGGTAACCTAGTATGCTTTTGTTACGAGGAGACATAATGAATAAGTGGTTGGCCTCGGCTATACTTCGCTGGGAACGTGTCATCGTACTCTGACAGCGCCGATTGGTGCTCATAACATCAATCACTGGTTTGTTTTTGCTTGTTTCTTTACAGGGCGCCGTCATACAGGCGTATATTGCCGAGTACGACAGCAAACAACAAACAAACATATAATACATAGGATAACGGCTTGCCTTAACGGCGTGCAGCACACACTGTTCAATGTTACCTTTGTCACATCTCCTTCCTGACCATCCTGAGGGACAGGAGCACCGGTCCGGACCCACACACTTCGCTCCGTTCATACACTTAGGGCGACAGGATGCTAGGTAAGGGGAGACAACCGCACACAATCAGTATATGACATCATCTGAGGTGACTTCAAGAACGTTACGTTAACTGGGATGTGGTGGAATGTAATATGAAATAGTGTTAATTGACATGACTTAATTGATGGAATGTCATATGAAATAGCGGTAATTGACATGGTTTAACATGCTTTAGAGGGCTCGCACGAAGAGAATGATGAAGAGCATTGATAGAGAGTGTTAGTTCCAAGCTGAAGATGTACTGCTAATATGCCTCCATCCCAGAGATGTTAGAACAAGATTTAAAGAGTAGAGATACTATCACCTTTACAACAACTGCACAAGAAGAAACAGCAACAACAACACTATAGAACAGGTACGATAGAGCTTGTCAAGCTGAATTTGCAAGAATCGCAGGCGCAGAAAGATATCGGCACACTTCTAGGGCTGATGTGGTCTTCAGAAAAGGGAGCCAACTGTATATGACACAATCTGATTGTGGACAGCACTAATACCACTTTAGATCTAATTCGCCCTTCCATTTTTTTCATCACAAACTTGTGTTCATAAACATTTTAAGATCATTGGTCGAAATGAAACCTACACGGGACTTATAAAGCAGATTTTGATAAAGATTTGTTTATCAAGAATCGCTGGCGCAATGTGATATTCGTTCTAATACCTTTGGCCAATAGGGCGCAAGGGGAGATAACCGAACAAAGTGTTCAAGGTTCGTAAAAATCGCTGGCGCAGTTTGGTAGCAGACCCACCTCGTTCACACCTCTCCCCTGTGTAACCGTATCCACATTTACACACGTTAAACCTTTTACACTTGCCACCATGGAGGCAAGGCGGAATGCAGATGGCTGGGGAAGAGAAATTATTATGACAGATCTTTTTGGTCGTTTATTATTGTATAGACATGGAAATCAACACTTTACTCTGTCAGATTATCGACATAGTTGTTTAAAGAAGGTCTTATTTTGTTTTGTTAACATTTAACTTTGCTCAGTATGGAGTACTGCAAGGATCATGTTCCCCTTTTCGCGTGTTTAAAATCTCAACTTTTGGGAACCGGTTTCAATGTAAAACGTGCTTGATTAAAAAATCTCAGGAACGCTGATTACCCTTACAGTATTCCATAGTTGAGAGATGGAAATTAACATGGAAATATAATTATTGCATCGAAAGATGTCTTAACTAATTTCTTTACACTGATTCACAGTAAATATCAGTATGTTCATACAGCTATCATAAAAGGATAAACCTACATTATATGACTTTATCGCTGAGAATCACATGAATACTACTTTTGGACTTAATAACAAAAAACAATGCATTTCACAAATATGTGATGAAGTAATTAAGATAATTATATTTTAATTTTAATTCATTATACTTTTGTTTTCGAGGACATTTCTGAGCTGCAAGTACCACACTCGTGTATACAATAGGGGAAACGTTCAGGGCCCTGTTCAACAAAGCGATCTTAGCGCTAAGACTATAGTAAATCAGTTACATTTAGTTTTAATTTAGCACAGACATACCCCAGTCACAGCGCTAAGACGGTTTTATAGAGTGGAACCCAGATTTGCATCGGAACACTTCAGGCCCGTAGGAGCAGTTGTTTTTCTGTTTTATTTAATTAACAAATTTTCATAAGGAGAATTTTGCTTAATCTCTCCAATATCTACATACATACTGAGTATTTGCTGCAAAACCGAATTTAGAATCAATATTATCTATGTACATGTTTCTTCGGGTCCCTTCTCGTCTCATAGTACTCCTGACTGTGATCAATATGACCGATATGATCAACTTATGCTATAATAGTTTCAGATGGCAGCCTTTCGGTGTAGAATTGGTACTTGTAGGGGACCGACCATTGGATATTCGAAAGGAGGGAGCTATATCTACGAGGGCTGGTAAAAAAATTCTAAGCCTGACTAACTTTCAACTATGGGCCATAACAAAGTGAACTGTTCAATGTAGTACATTGTTTGAGTAGTTCTTTGCAAGTGTTCTTTGAGGCCGTTTGTATATTAGTGACAGCCAGTTGAATGTGATTGGGGTCCAAATGGACACAGAAATGGAAAAGAACGAGTACCGAGCAGTCATCAAGCTTTTGGCTTTAGAGAAACGTACTCTCAAAGAAGTTCATGACCTCATGTATCAAGTGAATGGGGATAAGTGCCCTAGCTATTCCACTGTTAAACGTCTGGCAGCTATGTTTAAGGCTGGGAGAACAAGCAAGATGATGACCCTTGATCTGGACGTCCCTCAACTTCCATCAATGAAAAAATCAATCAAGGAGATAGCAAAACTTATACTGTCATATAGAAGTATTACCATTGCTGAACTTGAGGAAGACACAGGTCTGAGCCATGGATTCATTTAAACCATTATTCATGAACATTTACAGATGAATAAGATATCTGCCCGTTGGGTGCCAAAGTTCTAAATTCTGATCTTAAGGGGAAAAGAACTGACAATGCCAGAGACAATTTAGAGCTAATTTTGGAGGATTTCGTCAAATTCAAAAAGAGATTAGTAACGGGTGATGAAACATTGGTCTACCACTATGATCCCGAGTCAAAACGTCAATCCATGGAACGGCACCGTTCTACTTCTCCGGCACCAAACAAATTCAAATCTTCAAGATCAGTGAAGTAAGTAAGGGCCACTGTGTTCTGGGATGCAAAGGGTGTGATCCTTATCGATTACTTAGACAGTCAACAGACGATGACCGGGGCCTACTATGCTGATTTGCTTCATTGCCTGAGAGATTCTATCAAAGAAAAACGCCGAGTAATGCTGACTGCTTGAGTTTCAATTCTTCATGACAATGCCTCTTTTCACACCTCCCGACTTGCAAAGGCTGCTGTGCAACAATGTGGGTTCGAAGTGCTTCCTATACCTCCATACTCGCCAGACCGGGCACCAAGTGATTTCCACCTGTTTCCTAAACTGAAAGGGCTATGACGACAACGATGACCTCAAAGCTGCCGTGAATGGGTTTTTCAGGGTGGCTTCAGAAAACGTCTTCCTGACTGGATTTGAACAGCTTCACTATCGATATGAGAAGTGTATTTGAAAAGCAGGGAGTTTATGTTGAAAATAAAATTTTAAAAACTTTCACAATTTATTTTTTTGCTAGGCTTAGAACCTATTATTCCGCCCTGACACGTTTTTATTTAAAACTATGGGCCTGAATCTTTTTTTTCCTTTTTAAAAAAAAATATAAAGCGCCTTACTTTATTTTTTTGTGGTCGGCAATTCTTTTTTCAAGAGTCTGAATCAAAATAACGTTTTCAAAAATTTTCGGGGACAGTTTTTTGGTTTCGTAAAGAATCTCAGAACCCCCACCCCTCCCTTCTCCACACCAAGAATATCAAATGGTCGGTACATAAAGCAGTTTTGTTCGACGTGGGGACCTCGACAAAAGATGGCATTCTTGTACATTTTGACTGAATAGCCGATTTTACTGACACTAAATATTAAATCGAAGATTATCGCGAAATGCCTAATCGTGAGTAAAATATGAACCGAATCGCGTCTACATGTATCGTTGCAACCCCTACCGTATACAAGGTGACGGTCACATGAAATAGCCGGTAGGCCAAGGAACAAACATGGCTGCCTTACAATTTGTGCGCGTACTGATATTTCAGTGCTTTGACTTGCGATCTTAATAAACGTACAAAATCATATTTGTCCCTTGCTCTGGCCAAACAAACGCAGTTCGGGACGCAGACGGCACATAACATGGCAACACATGAACGCTCAAAATCGTATACCTTCCTGACAATAGCGACCGGAATATCCTGGTGGGCATGCGCACTCGTGTGGTCTTATGCACGTGCCTCCGTTAAAACATGGCGGGTAACACATGGGAATTTCACAATATTGTCCCTTCCAGCCCTTCTCACAGCGACATCTCTCAGGCCCAATACAGACTCCGCCATTTTGACAAGGCCTTCGACATGCCACTGCAGAAATCAGAATAGACTTGATGTTCATGTTATACTCCTGGAAAAAAGTTAAGCGCCACCACTTTCTTATTTTCATATGTTTCTACTTTCCATGTACATTTTGAAATCTCTTCATAGGAAATTAATTTAATTTCATAAAATATCTGGGATACAACCGACACCTGATGATAAGCTGGTATAATAAGGATGTATGTTGTTACTGGTAGCACCAATGACTGGGTGCAGCGTTTAATAATAATAATAATAATAATAATGCAAAAAGCAGAAGTAGCATGTGAAAGGGTAGTCAAATATATATTTCCATGCCGGGAATAGTTACATAATATGCCATCGCATAATCTATTTCTGTTTCTCTAATTCAACAGGGGTATGTCACTTTGTAAACAAACACGAAATATTTCGTCAGAAAATAAACAGGATACGATTTTAAAAAAATGCTGTTTTATATTGAAATATGCAGATAGCGGTGCTTAAGTGTTTACCAGGTGCCTGCCAATGCGCCTGTCACGCCAGGCGCTGTCTCACGTGTTAATACTCTATAAGGAGGTATACAGGCTACAGTTTACTATTACACGACAGCCATATTTGTCGACACATGCATGAAGGTATAGGTGTGGCATGATGAAATTGGATAGACACAATATACAGAAAACAGGAGACAAAATCAAATCAAGTCCCACAGCATAGAAGGGAACGCCAGTACTACATCATCGCCATGCCTTCACGGGTATACACTACTGTCCTCCCCTATCTGTGAATACACACGGTCGCTTTGCATTGTAGTACTATTTTCAAACAACGAATCAGGCGGCTGCCTGATTACGGCGAGAGGGAAACCAGTGGGTACTCTGACCAATGAACGCTAAGGTTACATAACAGATATTACTCGTGCTTCTGCTCCACACATTGCTTCAGTGTAAGACAACGGTAGGGTTCGCACAAAATCCATGCGCGGAGTTGGGCTGACTGGACTTCCGCGAGTTGTATGTGACGTCATCTCATTGCTTGACGACTGTAGACACACGTCATTACTACACCCAAAGCGGTCATGTCCACGTGTGATGAGGGCACGTAGTGTATACATACACGTGAAGAAATGACGAGGGTACTACCTTGACCTACTGTAGCAACAAGCATAGGCATGTTTCATGAATGAAAATAATCTTTGTCTGTTATCATTTCATCTTGAAGGTACGTGTTTTCAAGTACAGTTTGATAACCGTTAATTTCTTCCCTACACGATAGCTGCAATGTGAACTCCGATAAAACACCATTTGCGGACTTTGTAATGTTGTAGCAAAGTATTTCAGAATATGCCGTTGCATCCCGCAAATGTGCATGTAGTTTGAAATCAAGGAAACATGTAACATATTATGAGCAAAACGTAAAGATAAAACAACAGAATCAGCAGCTGCAACATAATGAGAAATATTGATACATGAATATCCATGAAATGACAATCCATTTGCTCCTTACCATAGACTCTGAACTGATGAACTTTTGCGCAAGCATAAAAGCTACACAAAAATTCATTTACATTGTCACGATAAAAATACTTTGAAACATGACGTTGAGTCGGCTTCCGGTAATCTGAATGAGTATCCAGACTCGATTATTTACAGACCGCCGACGTATAGCTGGACTATTGCTGTGTGCGGCCCAAAAATAAATTCTATAACAACATAAATACCTCAAAAAGTGGATATAATATACAAAAGACAAATGCTACACTTAAAAGGATTCTTTGAAGTATTGCAACATAAAAAAGCGAATTACAAACATACATATGGATGAAAACGTCATATATTACGAGCGCTTCCAGCAATAACGGCAACGCACTATGGTTATAGGAAATATTCAGACTGAAGTTTGTACTACACATTTGGATCGACTGTTCACCCTTTGCTGCTAATGTAAGGTACGTGGCAGATATATGTGTGACGGAAGTATATATGCCTGTATTCCTAGCGTATTGTACTTGATGATGGTGTCATATTGATGAAGTTCACAAAAAAAAGTAAAAAACTTCAATACTCACATAGTTCACATCTTGGCCCTGTGAAACCGTAGGGACACAGACATCTGTTCCTGGTGTAGCATCGCCCGCCATTCTGACACCCTGGCGTACACACACCTGAAGAAAATACAGAAATGTTGTTTGGATGAACAAATAAATTAAATCTGTTGTTTAACGACCCGTTGTAGAACTGCTAGGCAAAAAATGTGTTGATGGTGGCAAAAAATGAAACAAACATGAAATAGTTATTCGATGATGATGTACTTGATACGGTTATCATAGCCTTGTTTTTAGATCTTAAGTTTGCAGTCTTCCGGCCACCGACCGCCGTGGTATAACAGCGACTGTTTTCAGCCTAATAACGTTTTGATAACGTTTGTAATCTTTTGGTAAAATCCAATTTTCAATTTCACCCAGCCGGGAAAGGGTACTCAATGTGCGAGGTGGATGCAAAAAAAACCCTAGGCCCGCTTGGGTTGTACACTCCCGAGGGAGTTGAGAATGATAACTGAAATGCAAATGGATCTACTGGACGGGGAACAAATAAACCGCATTTGAGCAGATACTAGCACCTGGATATGTGCGGTATATAAATGTATATTATAACAGTATGCTATTTTTACCCGACAGTTTAATATACAATTGACTCTGTGTAAACCGACATCTGAGTACTCCGGCACTCTCTGTTATCCGGCATTTATTTCCTGTCCCGACTAACTTGTTTAAAACATTATAATTTTAACTCTACTCTGTCTATTCCGGACCGAAATTGTTCGGGAAATGAGATGTGCGGAGTAACGAGATCTTGTTTTCGTGGAACATAGTGTTTGTTTGTTTGACTGTTTGTTTGTTTGTTTAACGTCGCACTCAGCAACATTCCAGCTATATGACGGCGGTCTGCAAATAATCGAGTCTGGACCAGACAATCCAGTGATTGACATCATGAGGATCGATCCACGCAATTGGGATACGACGACATGCAGAATCCAAGTCAGCGAGCCTGACAACCCGATCCTGTTAGTTGCCACTTACGACAAGTATAGCCGCCTTTTAGGGCAAGCATGGGTTGCTGAAGACCTATTCGAGCCCGGATCTTCACGGGTCTGGTACATTATTGAGAAACAGATTAATGCTTTGTGTAGTTCTGCGGTTTTACTCACTCTGCTCGCACTGATCCCCGGTGTATCCAGAGAAACACCGACACTTGTTAGGCTCGTAACACACACCCCCATTCCGACAGTAAGGAACACACACAGCTGAAACATAAACTCGAAATAAAGGTTGGAGCATTTGATTTCTAGGGGATTGGGGGTGGTGTTTTTGTTGTTGTTGAAAACAAACACAGCTCATAGTCTAAATACAAAACTCAGCCTCAATAAAAGTCTCGACCGCAATATGACCATCCTGGAGTACTTCGTAAGCAAAGTCATAAACATTGACTTTAAAGACATGAGCCAGCGATTCCTGGCAGGGCCATGTGACGCACTGCGGTGCCTTGTAACATTGGCTCACTAGTGCCCAAAGACATGGATAGTGTTATTGTAAGGTCAGATCTTCCTGGCCATTGTAATACAATACACTAGTTATTTCAGTATAAAAGATAAATCATCGATCTGGTGTCCTGTTAAGTCTTGATCTACACGTTGTAGCTAATGCCTCGTTTGTTTGTTTGTGTAACGCCACATTCGGCAATATTCCAGCTATATGACGTCGGTCTTTAAAAAAAGCGAGTCTGGACCAGAAAACCAGTGATTGACATCCTGAGCATCGATCCACGCAATTGGTATACGATGACATGCATGAACCAAGTCATTGAGCCTGACCAACCGACCATGTTAGTCGCCTCTTACGATAAGCATAGGTTCCTAAAGACCCTGGATCTGGATCTTCACGGGTAGTAATGCCCAATGTGAAACTGAGACATTGTCTCTATATCATTAGGGCAATCATATACTGCTAGATTGATTGGCATTAACTTATCATAGTTATTTTACAAACAAAGCGGCGTTTGAATGATTTGAATTAAATTTGCACTGCCAATTTGCCCGCGTCACGTGCCTCTTTACGATTTTAAGTATAATTAAGGGTATGACGACTGCGTGTACTGAAGCAACAGGCATTGAAGCAGTGATCAGGACACGCATTCAGTCAATCTGGAGTAGTCTCTGGTTTCTGAATCAGTCTGTTGCGTTCATGACTGGAATATTGCTGCGTGCAGCGTTAAACAAGAAACCCTGTACTCACGGAGATGGCACCTCCTCCCGGTGTACCCCGCCGGGCAATCACATCTGTTGGGGCCAACACACATACGGCGTCCTCGACAGGCAGGTTCGCAGATAGCTGGACATAGAGAGGCACAATGGTTGAGAGATATAGAAGGGAACCACCGAAAGGTTATTCAAAGCGCTGCCTAATCCCAAAGCGTCACTTGTTTTTTTCTGCACATAAGTCCAAACTGGTAGTTATAGTGATGTGTAAGATAGAAACAAGAAAGGAGATTCCATGACGTGTTTAAGTTGCATGCAGATTCCAACCTTTGGGAGAGTTAGTGAGTCAATATTTAAAGTCACATCGACACTATTTCAGCCATATATTGACCGTTGGGTATTAAAATAACTCGAAGTCTTTCTTTAAGGTAGCTAAGGTAGAGTGAGGCAGGTCTTTGACATTTATCATTTGTGAAGCCCACGAGAACAGGTATGGTGCTGACAAACCAAAAATTGAAAAAATAAGTTTGACCCTTCAATTTGTATAAAATAATAGGGTCGGATGGGTGAGAAAGAAATAATTCAAATTCACCTTTTTTTATTTGGCAGTTAAGCGATTTAGTGCGTACTTGAGAACAATGCCATACACTGCTTAAAGTACCAGGGAAGCTACGAATAACGTTCATCACAGCTACCTCTCATGGTTGGGTGAGCATTTACGGGTCATTGAGCTTGGGTAATGTATCGGGATCAGGCAGGGCAACAATTTTCGATTCGTTTTCGTAAGTTTGATTATCAGTCTCGGTAAAGATAACAAAAGCTTGAAATTTCTTCTACATTCCTGATTTTAAGGGGTAGGAGGATTCGTTAAGTCCACGTACTAGAAAACTCCGACGCGTGACTTACGTTCACACACACTGCCGTTTCCGCTGTATCCGTTCGGGCATGGGCCGCACGTGTACCCCGGGTAGTAGTCGACCTCCACGCAATCAGCGACGGGGGAACACACCTCCTTGTCGCACGCCAACTCAGCTGTACACCACATGGCAAGGGTTGCATCAATAGTCTTAATATATATTTGTATGGTGCTAATTGTTAATGAAGAGCAAAGGAAAAAAGTCAATAGCGAGTTTGAAAGAAAAATATTTGTCCGAATGTACGAATGTTTAAAGAATATCACCACAGGCAGGTTATTCACAATTCCATCATTCCCTTCATTATCATCATTATCACCATTCTAACCATCATCATCATCATCATCATCATCATCATTATTATTATTATTATTATTATTATTATTATTATTATTATTATTATTATTATTATTATTATTATTATTTACGTGTTCTTCGACAGCTGTTGCCGTCACCACGGAAGAACCGCGGACAGTCTCCACATGAGTAGCCGATATCCGGGGCTCGGTGGTCACTGCATTCGACTCCAGGAAAACAAGGCAGCTCTGCGCATGCGTCCATTTCTGTATCAGGTATCAAATGATTGAAGCATATTTGAAATTACACAATGCAATAATTCACGATGCCGCGTCAAAACGGTTCAACTAGGTCTGTTTTAAAAAAATAACAAAAATACTTACCCCCACACGTCTTCCCGTCCCCAGTGAGGCCCGGGGGACACGGCCCGCACGAGAAGACACTGCCCCTCCCAGAGCAGGACACCCCCGGGAAGCATGGCTCCGTGGCGCAGATATCGTCTATCACATCACAGGAATAACCTGGGAATATGGCAGGAATATAGACTCATCTTCCATGACTAAAACTGGCGAACTGACTCATTTACAATTAATAATCAATGGGAAATAAGTGACTGCACTTGTGTTAATACACGGGTCTGTACTCTATACGTTCCAGAACACTCTTGAAGGCAACCTACGCGCTGGGTTTGGTGTTTCTTGTGAATAATACGGATAGTACTTTTGTAAATGAAGTACTGACAAATCAGGATGTATTCGTATAGACGTGACACTTCGTTGTATGCATTAATCAACATTGGTAATATATTCAACTCCAAAAGAAACGCGAACAGGACGGGCGATATCATAAAACTGAATTGATGTAAAAAAATATTAAATTTCTTTTTAATTATATTCCATTATATTTCACATGATAACATTCAACAACACGCAATAATTGTACAAACTTCCCTGGAAAATGGCTAATACGCGGAACACTCTTTATTATAAGAAGGTCTGAGGCCGTTTTAATTGATTCATTGGACATTGGACATAGGTTCTGTAGTTTTAACAGCGAGTTGCCAATCTCCATAGCCGTCGACCTTACGTTGGCCAACGTTTAACTCAACGTCATTGCCACAGGTCAGATGTGGACACAATACCATCGGAATTGGCAGACCAGGCATTGGAGATGGCTTCTTCTATAGCATGTTACCTTTCCCGCTTTAAAGTCTCAAATAAAACTAAGTGTTTCATTTGTAGTTAATATTTTATATTTACATCAATGCACACACCTTTGTAGCCCGGATCACAGATGCACGTGTAGCTGTTGATCTCGTCGATGCAGTTGCCGTTTAAGCAGGGGTTGGAGGCGCACTCGTTCACATTGATTTGACACCGTTTTCCTAAAAAGATATGACTTATTATACATGTTATTTTGAATGACTACACATAAGGGTAGACGTGATATAAATGGTATTCTTTTGTCGACAACTTACGTCGTTATTTCGCTACGGTAATGGCGTACCGACCTATAACCTTGAACTTGACCCATATTACATCGACCTTGTGACTGACCTGTGTAACCTGGAGGACACACGCAGCTGTAGTCGATGTCCTTGTTCCTGAGGAAGGTGTGGTTGACACAGGCACCGCCGTTGAGGCACTCGCAAGTCAGGACAACCACCTGAAGACAACAACTTCAAGGTATTTATTTCAAGGCGTAATTGATAGAATAATAGGCACCATCTACAAATCTAAATGTGACACGGTCAGGATCCGTAGTCACCATGGCTTCAGGGGGAACTTATCAAACTCAGAGCTGCGTGGCTGACTGTATTGGCTCCCTAACCAGAATGGTTGTTCACACTATCAACCACTAATTTACGTTTTCTTGGCCCGATCAAATTATAGGCAGTCAGGATCTAGCTGGTTCAGAAGAAGGGATACGATGTCACACTCTTAGCCAGGTCCCCAAGTCACAATACGATCTCAGCTCTACGAGTATCACGTCAGTATCACGTCAGTCTAAGCCCTAAGATCATTTTGAAACTGGACAAAGGTCACTCATTGCGGTCATCCGATCCCCACTGACGTCTGTTTTTGTGTTAGGTGTAAGGGATGTATTGTGACCCCGAAACGCCTTGAGAGAACACAGAATGGATAAAAAACAGTCTTTTCATGAGGGGAAAGGTGGCCCACTTGTAGGCGCCGCAAATCGCTTTGCAGAGTTTCGTCCCTTTAGTGTGCTAGAAACCTATGATAGTTCGAATTCCAGATTCGCCCCGATTATGTATCTAGGTTTGTCAACACAAGAGCTCATGGGTTTCACCAAAGTGGTAAATGTCTGACCTGCATAAAAACTTCGGGCTTTACGCCCACATCAAGCAGACAGGCTGTGATATAACCAGAATACAGCTCCAGGCGGTGTAAAACCAAAGTTACTCACTGTTTTATGATATAACAATAAATATCGGTATCTGAGCTGCATGTATATTTGGGAATCGTCTTATGAAAGTCGATGTTACCTCGAGGGAGAACTTCGACGTGCCGTTACAGTTATCGCTTGCTGTAATCTCGAACACCTCCATTGCAGGGCCGCCATCGACTGTGTTTGTTTCTGAACGCCAGTGGAAGTAGCCGTCAGATGTGATGTAAGCATCCCGGCGGTTAATCTTGTACATCACCTTTGACCCCTCGGGATCAGTTGCCTTGACATGCACCCTGGCCTGTTGACCAGCGAATATAACCGTTGGCGTTTCTGGACCTTGGATCTCTGGAGGGTGGTTGTCTGGAATGGTCAAGACATTCTAACTGACAACAGGAAACATTCAGTAAACAGTTGGTCGATCGCGGCATCTGTTGTGACGTTCTTACGGCGTACTGTCCGACTGTCATGATATTATGCACAGTTGGCGACCAGTATGTCGGTCAGTCATAACGTACTGATAGCTGTCCACTCTATCTGATTCGACAGTTGTCGACCAGTATGTACGTCATGACTTATCTTTCATTGGCCACCATTCTGTCTGTCTGTGATGACATACCTATAGTTATCGACGCGTCTGATTATCATGACGTACTTATAGCCGTCGGCCAGTATTTATTTTATGACGTTGGCAACCAGTCACCCTGCCTGTGATGACGTACTTACAGTTGTCGACGCGTCCGACTATTATGACGTATCACCATTATATCAGACTATCTCCTATGTCGTACATGTTAATCCTGCTGTCTAATATGACGTACATTGTAAATGTCCCTGTTCCTGTAGCTGACGATCAGACTGACTGTTTAGACGTACCTATTTTTGGCGACCAGAACGTCTGTCCGAGTCCGACAACACACTGCTGACAGGGGTCGTTGGGGTTGACGTCCATAGCGGAGTGGCACTCGTAGTCAATGAAACACGAATCAGCCTGGTCGAAAGAAATGTTTTTAAAAACAAGGCTTCGAGAATAAATAATGACAAAACATCTTGTGATTATGTACATTATATGAACTAGTACAATGCATCTGTTGGTTTAAATAATGAGGCTCGTATATTTCAGCCATTGTATCTGATACCAATAACAATAATATCCTCCACAATCTGCGCCTTACCTTGACCTTACAACCTTGACGACCGTCCACACCACAGTCCCTGCAGACGGAGTCGTGTAGGGTCAAGGTCTTCGATGAAACCGACTCCCCACCGATGTTAACAGCCTGTCGGACATAATCAATAGAAATTCAATTTTCATATTTATCTCCTGGAACGAAATCAGAAGCCCTTAAGTTTGCAAAAGAAAGAATAAAACATGGGGGCAAAATAAGAACCCCTAAATTTGTCAAGATGTTATAACATATTCCTAGCAAAAGTGAAAGAAATGGCAGATAATTACAAACATGTACCTCAATTACTAGTGTTTCTATGGGTAAATCAGAGACGAACAACTGGCGGAGGGATTCTATTGGCGGAAGAGTACACTTCAGCATGCCGTCAGAGTCACTGCTGCTTTGAGTAACAATGGGTGCTGTCAGTGGTTGCTTGTATCCGTCGAGGATCTGGAAGAGGATGGCAGGAATGATGAATATTCTGATGAAAACGACCATTTCACAAATAGCTTGGCTACACAAAGTTTCTATGTTTGAATATGCCTAGGCGACTGGACCACTCGTGACCCCCAAGATGACACAATCACAAGAGGACATTATTACAAGAGGACATTATTGCAAGAAGCATTATTATAAGAGGACATTATTACAAGCAGCCATCATTGCAAGAAGGCATTATTACAAGAGGTCATACATGTAATTACAAGAGGACATAATTACAAGAGGGCATAATCACGCGAGGACATTATTACACGAGGACATAATTACAAGAGAACATGAAGAAATCACAAATATTAGCAACTGAGAAGCCTCCAAACAAGAAGTTCAGACCAGTATTATATAATTTGTTTGTTTGTTTGTTGTTTTACTCTCCCAGCTATATGACGGCGGTCTGATAATTATTGAGACTGAATCAGACAATCCAGTGATTGATGGGATGCGATGACATGCATCAACCAAGTCAGCGAGCCTGACTACCCGATCCCATTACTCGCCTCTTACGACAAGCATATTCGCCTCTCACAGCAAGAATTGGTTGCTAAAGACCCTCTTCTAACCCAGATTTTCACGGGTCAGTATAATATAGACCACTGCAGTAACATTAAATACGAGTCTTCCCGTTTGTACATAGTAGCTTAATCTACATATTCTATGTATTATTGATCTGTAAGATCAGACAATGCAGCGTTCTTCTGAAAGTTACTCACTGCGACAGGTGTGACTTTACACTGTAAGCGGTCCGTCATGGGGACGACCAAGGTTACCACTGAGCAGTCGGTGTTGCGAGTGTCGCATAGCTCAAACGTCTCCGTCGTCGACGGCATTGCAGTAGTGGTGGTAGTTGGTGTTTTGGTTGTAGTTGTAGTTGTCGTGGTAGTTGTAGTAGGAGTTGGTGTTGTTGTAGTTGTAGTTGTCGTAGTAGTTGTTGTAGTTATTGCTACAGAAACGTAAACGATGTAAACCAAGCGGAAGTATCCCGAATGAGTGAGCTAGTGAGTGAGAGAGTGAGCGAGAAATGATAAAAGCAGCTATAAGTCGATGGTGATACTACAAAGAACGATATGGTGACGAAATCAGCACTGTTAAAGTCAACGGCTGAAATATCATTTCAGCATCTCCCTCTCTACCTTAACATTTCGGAAAATAAAACTACATATTCGTGTAACATCTAACTAAAAGTGTTTGTTTGTTTGTTTGTTTGTTGTTTAACGCACACTCAGCAATATTCCAGCTGTAACGGAGGTCTGTAAATAATCGAGTCTGGACGAGACAATCCGGTTACTGACATCATGAGCATCGATCCACGAAACTGGGATAAAATGACATGCATCAACCAAGTCAGCGAGTCTGACCACCCGATCCCGTTAGTCGCCTCTTACCACAAGCATAATCGCCTTTTTACGGCAAGAATGGGTTGCTGAAGACCTATTCTAACCTAACTAAAAGTGAGTAAGTGGGTCTGGTTTACCGCCGCTTTGAACAGTATTTCAGTTACAAAAAATACTGTATATCACTGTGTGCCTGGTGGATGTGGGAGGAAAGCCCGAAGTAATACAGGTCGTGGATGTTTACCACGGTGGTAAATCCAACGAGCACGAGTTTGGTGCTGATAAACCAATAATCATAATTAGGGGAAATGTGGGAATCGAACCCTCACTATGATAAACGTCAGTGTGTAAATGGCAGTAAGTTGATAAAAATTGGCTAGGTTTGAATCCAATATAAGTAAAATCACATCTTTCACTCCGGTCCGATACTTCACTGCGCGAAGGACACTCCCATAGGAAGTATCGTCAGGTGTAGTTTCTAATCAGCCAATCAGCATCGATGTTTCTAAATTCAGACAAGCCCATCTGATTTCTATAGCTCGAAAATATAATATCAATGCCGCGCTATTATACTGCTGGGACTATTTTATACATCCTGTCGTTTCTGAGCGCGACGACATCGAAACCCCAAATGGTGTACTATCGAGTGTATTTGTATTCTGTGTCGGTTTTCTTCTACTAAGATCGACATTTCTGAGAAGTCTTTTTGCCGAATCCTTTTATATATATGTTCATATAAAGCTGACATCCAACTGGCTCATGAACCCACGGATCCTTCCAATCAATCAATCAATCAATCAATCACAAACGAGACTTGAATTATGAATCTTTCCTGAGGTTAAACTGGTTTTCGACTCTTTCTTCTTTCTGCTCATCGTCAACAAATTTAGCAGTTATATTGTGATATTGAGACGCGGATCCCAGCTTAACCAGTACTATGGCATTGTTATTTGAAGAGTGCAAATACTTTCATGAATTATGAGTTAAGAATAAGATAACATATTACCTTCGGCACATGATCTTCCTCTGTATCCCTGCTCACACAAACAACCGGATCTGGTGCAGTTGCCATGGTTACAACCCTCTGGGCAGTTGAAAGCATTGACCAGATCCGCCGGCCATTGTGGTAAAGCGTCACCAGGGTACAAGAATCCATGAATCTCTCGCAGAATAATTGCCTCACACAGGTTCTCCAACAGAGGCATACCGTACTGCGCCCAGGACAAGTCGTCCTTTATAAGAATGTCCGTCATACAGTAATCGTAGGCAAGTTGTAATTTTTCACCAAGATATTCCCCACAAGCCGATGCTAATGGATTGTCAAACAAGGTCTTTGCGCATACGTTACTGGCTTCCGCTTCAGAAATGCCTGATTTGGACGGCCAATCAAGGGCCACTTCCGGGTCTCCGATCTCTGTGTTGTAATCGGGTTCAAAGTAATACCCTTCACTAACGGCGATGGGCGAACCGTAGCTTTCATCCATCTCAAAATTTAGAGTGGGTATGTTTTCAAGAGTTTGTCTCTTCTTCCTTCTTGGTTGTCGCTGAGGGAGGTCAGGAAGGGGTGTGTTATAACCTTGACCATTTCTGTCAATGTCATGGTCACCGTCGTGCACGACTTCCGGAAACTGGGCTTTGAACAGTGCAAGGGTGCTTTCCTCTGAGGTGTGGATTGTTGGGACGATGTCTTTGAAGGATGAGGTGAGTGGGCAAATTTCTCCTTGTTTGTTTGGGGAGCAGTCACATTGTGCTTCGATAAGAGGAAATTCAGTTTGCACTGGGGGCAGGTCGAAGAGACTCTCTCCAGGATTGACCCTGTCGATAGAACAGTTTCTGTTAGAGGCTGGACAGAGGGCGCTGAACACATAATGAACTCCGGATATGGCGAGGTCTCATTTTCGATTGTCGGCTAAAGCGAACATACTGCTCTGACCAGGTGTGTTCATCTACATGATGTGAATAGCAAATATTATTCTTTATCTAGGGACCCTGGAGTTTGTCCTGCATCTAGTATTTTGATTGTTAATACTATTAGGCACTGTTTTTTTGTTTGTTTTTCTTGTTTGAAGCCGCACTTAATAGCCAAGCTGTATGACGGCGGTCTGTACGTCGGGTCTGGACCAGATAAACCAGGGGCCAGTGACTGATATTATGATATACGGTCCGCGGCGTCGGGGAAGGTTGACACTATATCAATGAGTCACCAGACAACTCGATCCACTGAGTCGCCTCTTACGACCAGCATAGGTTGCCGGTGACCAATTCTAACCCGGAATGCCTAGGACTAGGTTTGTTGGTTTGCTTGTTGATTAACGCCGCACTCAGCAATATTCCAGCTATATGACGGCGGTCTGTAAATAATCGAGTCTGGACGAGACACTCCAGTGATTGACATCATGAGCATCGATCCACGCAATTGGGATCGATGACATGCATGAACAAAGTCAGCGAGCCTGACTACCCGATCCCGTTAGTCGCCTCTTACGACAAGCATAGTCGCCTGCCTAGGACTAGGTACTGGGTTGGAAATGGATACGGAACGTTTTATCGAGACACTGTTTTCTTTACATTTTTTCACACTTGTTTTACATGTCCAAGAAAAATGTATATCGAATGTCTCTAGAAGCGGTGAGGTCAAATGGGGTTTAACGTCGCCTCCAAGATTATTGCACTTGTGTGGTGTGTGTGTTTCTGCTTGTACTACTTAGGTCTAATGCCGATTTAATAGTGCAAGCCCACTGAGATACCATGCCGCAGATTAACATGAACACCCCACTCAGACACAAGATACTGACTCCGAGACGACCAGTCTTTGATTAATGTCGAGCGCCAGACAGGGTAAAAACAAGTACCAACTTTTGGTAAGATGGATCGAGCCCCTTCCTGCTTTCCGGGCGGACGCTCTACCAATAGACCACGGAAGCAGGGTTTACAGTGGTGTAATTGTTTGTGTTTTAACGTCGAAGTCGAATCTAGGCCAGACAAACCAGTGGTTGATATTATGAGCAACGTCCCAAGCCGTCGTGGTACGGGATAAAGAATATAGAGAGCTGGGGACATATGAAAAGTGTAACACGGGTCTTTCAATGGAACTTCACGTACCTCCAGAGTTTAACAAACTGAAGTGATGCCTCGTAGTCTCCCGGGGCTTTAATTCTGTTGCCGTTGCCATCATGGAAGTCGTTGTTCGAGTCGTCATCAAAGGATCCACAAAGACCCCGACTTCGGCGGATCTCCTGCCCCGGCAACATGACGACGACGGACAGACCCCACTCCTCCATGTTGACTCGCACCCTGAATCCGTCAGCGAACAGCACCTGACACAACAGGATTCCTCACGATCAAAGTTTGTTCATCACAGAGTGGAAAGTGTATGCGACGATAATGACCCTGTTTGGTTCACTGACACTACCAATATTTTGGCAATTTCTTAAAAATATTTGACTCCCAAACGACATCACTTTGCCTGAAGACACCTCCATTGGATAAGGGCATAGAAGGTGTCGTCATGCAAGCCCTGAGCGAAATGTGACTGCCTTATCTAAATAAGGATGCACGGGCTGTGTATTTTTTTGGCACTCGGAACTCCCCGATTGAATTCGTTTTCGAGATACAAAGTGAGTGTTGGCATGGTTTTACGCCACTTTTAGCAATAATTCAGCAATATCAAGGCGGGGGACACCAGAATTGGGCTTCACACATTGTACCCATGTGGTGAATCGAACCCGGGTCTTCGGCGTGACTAGCGAACGCTTTAACCACTAGGCTACCCGTCCGCCCCTCGAGATACAGAAATCAGCTTGGTTGTCTGAATGCTTCATTCAGAATTTAGAAGCCTCGACGCTGATTGGCTGGTTAGACAGTTTCCCTGATGTGATCTGTAGAGGCATCCCCAGACTCTTTACGTATCGGAATAACATGATGTAAATAAAATTGAATTTGCATTTGCTAGTTTTGGACTTTATATGGACTTATCTGGGATTCCAAACTAAGTGTCCTTGGCAGGCAAGCTGAGAACTCTTTTTTATCTTGCTCTTAATTGGAATCTATTCATATATTCTTAAAATCAGAGATGTTTTTGCATGGTATTTCAGCATGATTCTTTACGGCCAAAGAGTTGACTAAATAGAAAAGGGCATGTAATGATAAGGACCCAGTTTGGTTCACTGGCACTGACATTTCCTAGTTTTGGACCTTTGAAAAGCATAGGTTAATAGAAGTATCCTAAGATAGTTATTGATAAAGTGGCATCCACTCTCTCGTTATCCACAGTGAGTTAGATCTGAAGGTCAAGGTCAAGGTCACTTGAAATTATCTCAAGTATATGCGACGTGCCAGGTTTATTTTGAAAGAAAATCTAGTGTCACAGGTCTTCAAAGTTCACCACTCTCATGAAACACAGGAGCATGAGTAAAATGCTGACAGACCACGGATTATAACCGAGGGGGACAGTGGATTCGAACCCGCGACCAGCCTTGACCGTTGGTAAGGGACACAACTCTGCATGTCGAGTTTCGTCCTTGTAGTGTATCATGGAATGTTCAACTGCCATTCAGACAGATACATGAATAGTTTCAGATGGAGCTTACCGTGAGCACCCTGTCATCGCGGGAGGTGTAGATCTTGATGTCCTCGCTGACGGCGTGAGACGGGAAGGTGACCTTTGCCCTGCCGTTAGGACTCTGTCCGTCACACATGTCCACGGTCGCCATGTCTCCCATGTGTTTGATGACCACCCCGCACACACAGTACCCACCCCTGCCGCCACAGTCCCACACCCGGCCGTGAACCTGGAACACGGAGAGGTAGATGTATCGGGGACAACATGACAGGTGTATAGAGATTGTGTAACATAAATATGTGTGTGCGCGTGCGTGCGTGCGTGCGTGCGTGCGTGTTTGTTTGTTTGTTTATGTGTATGTGTGCGTGAGTGTGTGTGTGTTGCACTGGTTTTACGGAACGAATAGCAAGAGCGTTACACCTGTGACACGGAGAGGTAGATGTACAGGGGACAAAATGACAGGTGTATAGAGATTGTGTAACATAAATATGTGTGTGTGTGTGTGTGTGTGTGTGTGTGTGTGCTAGCGTACGTGCGTGTGTGCGTGTGTGTGTGTTTGTTTGTTTGTGTGTATGTGTGCGTGAGTGTGTTTGTTGTACAGGTTTTACGGAACAAATTTTAGATATTTTTCTGAGCAAGAGCGTTACACCTGGGTGAGGTGAGGTGAGGTGAGGTGATGGGGTTTAACGTCGCGTCCAAGATTATTGCACTTATATAGCGACGTGCATGTACATGTGTGTGTTAGTGTGGCTGCTTGTACTAGTCCGGACTGATGCCGATTTATAGTGCTAGCTCACTGAGCTACCATGCCGCAGTTTAACATGATTACCCCACTCAGACACAGTATACTGACTCCGAGCCGACCAGTCCTTGTTTTAGCCCCTTAATCCCGAGCGCCAGACAGGGTAACAACAAGTACCATCTTTTAACGTCTTTTGGTATGACGCGGTCGGGAATCGAACCCCGGACCTTCCGCTCTCCGGCGTTACACCTGGGACACTCAAAGTAAATGTACTCGTGGATAGCATGACATAAAGATTGTATTACACAAGTGTGTGTTTGGTGGACGCTACCAGTAAGACATGAGATGATTATCCTTTTCGCGAACACCTGCTGTTTCTGTGATCCATTCATTTAATTTTCCTCGATATATAAAATTTTCCTTTTGAACGTTATATAATTACAATTCTACAGTTATATTTATACACTTCGTCTCAGGTGGCGAGGACATGGTGAACGCGTTGAGCTTTAAAAACTAAGTGTTATCACGCAAAATAGATAATGTGTGGTTTTACCTTTGACTCCTTCTCAGTATTTGAATAGAAGACGTATGTTCCCCTCTGGTATAAGTTGTAGTACCTGAAGCAAATTCATATATTAACACCTATAACGTTATTATTATATAAACTAGACGAAACATGCCAATTAACGTAGCTATATACACCAAGTTAACGAATTCATTACATTTTGATAATACAAATGTCAAGGTCAACGTCCAAACATTTGAGTTATCTTTTCATGACCGCCTCCAAGTAGGTATGATTTTAGAAGTGTAAGAGGTTGTTATTTAGCCGTTAACGTCTTGACATTGTTTTTTTAAATATAAATTTGTCTGTTTAATTCTAAAAATGTTGCCAAAAGGACAAGAGCAGATTTTCATAGTATGTGCTGATTTTTGCGTTTTTTCTGATTCTGATTCTTTGTTTTTACGATGTTTTTTAAACAGATATATCTACATGTAAAATAGTTGTGCTAAGCAGATCGTAGACGTGCAAATCAAACACATTTCAGATTGCAGTGAGTAAGTGAGTATGGTTTTACGCCGCTTTTAGCAGTATTCCAGCAATATCACGGCAGGGGACATAAGATATGAGCTTCACACATTGTACCTATGAGGGGATTCGGACACCGATCTTCGGCGTGACGACAAACGCGTTAACAACTAGGCTACCCCACGGCATCTTAGATTTTAGAACTTGGAGATCTGATCTGACATGTTTAACTCATATTGGTACCAAACAAAATTTCAAGCAAAGATCACATACTTTCCATCAAACGTCATGATGTGAGGGTCGTTGAAGATGAAGCATTCGGCGAATGGGACGTCCTCGATCCTAACCTGTGGGAAAAAAAATGTACATGCCAGCCAGATTAACGTCAGAAACACAACGGATGTGGTACTTGAAGAGGTGGACACAAAGCCTATATGTTCTGTCATTGTTTCCATTAACTGTTGGTATACACCCTGTTGAAGTTTACATTTCCTCTCCGTATTTGCAAGAGTAAAGAAAAGGTCGCTAATTAAATGTTATGACATAATAAGTTCATACGGATACAAAGGAATGAAACTTAACGTTGATGCTCGCTTCACGTAATTAGTACATGAAGTACGGTATAATGCTACAATTCGACGAGATGAATTTTATTCAATTTCATATCGTTATGTATTTCTTATAGAGATTAAATAATCTATTATTATTTTACGGGGTCGTGGAGTTAATCTGAAATACGTATGCAAGTTCACTAATAATCGTATCCGAATTGTGTAGGTCGATGCTGATGATGTCAATCGGGCCAGATTTTATTATTTACAGATCGCCCTCATATAGCTGTAATGTTGTACACAGACAATGATGATAACGGATCAACCATTCGATATTCCGGTGGAGGGACTGTTTTGGATAAATAGTTTATTCCATAAAATACTTGAAAGAAAGGATGCCCTGTGGTGAAAATTGGATACCTGAGTGTCCAGCGAAATGGACTGCCAAACGTTCTGGCCGAAATCGTTGACCACAGCAGCAATGGTTGCCCCCGTCCCACTGGGCGTGTCCTGGAGGTTTGGGATGAGTCGCATCTGTATCACCTGCTGGTCACACACTCCCTCGCTGCAGTTCTTGCTCATGAACTCGAAGTAGCACGTGGACAGTCGAAGTCGGGGGATCTCCAGACCAACTGTCATAGCAATGAAAGAGTTGAGATTTACGTCGCTTTGAACCATATCTAAGTTAAATGTTTCATGTGGGAGGAAATCCCGAGATTATGCAGGTCTTGAACGTTTACCACTTTGGTGGACCTTACAAGCACTGGATATGGTGCTGACAAACCTTGAACCATTATCAGGAAAATTCAGGATTCGATCTCATCAATCATAGGATTCCAGGACGCCTAAGGGACGCATCTCTACACAACGAATTGCAGCCCCTTAGGCGATTAGGCTGTCCGTGCTTGTCTTGAAGTGGTCTACATTTTATTACAAAAGTGTGATGCAAGCATGAATATTCATAAATAAATTAGCTGTAAAGGACGTTCTTTAAGAAACACCACCCGTTCGTAAATATTAATAAAGAGAAGCCTGCGTGATATAGCTGTAAATTCACTCACTCCTCGAAGTCTTATAGACCAGAAACAATATTAAGTTATCTAGAGTTCGCGACAAGCGGAGTGTCGCTATGAGACCATTATGACGGTAACGATTATACACCTACATGCATAAGAAGACAACGGTATAAATGCAAAAGATAACCCATATGTTCATAATAATTTGATTTCATGTTAAGGGTTATATATACTTTGTAAACAACTCCTTCCTAAGAAACAGTGCATGTTTCAACATAAAGTTGGAAATTGATATGTCCTAAAAATTATAGCGATTATAATTCTTCTCAACACGAATGTTACTACAGGGAAGCTACACTTTTATCCGAGAAATACTGTGCATTCCTTGCCAGTCATTATACTGCATGAAGCAGAATAATTATTATGCATTTGAATGGCAAATAACTGTAAAATGCTCACGTCTTAAACATTCGAGTTACAGTAGTTCGAGTTTTACTCAGCATAGGATGGGTGAGTAAGTGAATTAGATTTAACGCAACTTTTAACACTATTCCTGCAATATCACGACGGGGGACACCAGACATGGGACATACGTAGTATCCATGTGGGGAATCGAACCCGGGCCTTCGGCGTGACGAGCAAACGCTTTAACCTCTAGTCTACCCCACCGTCCCCAACATTCAGATGGATGACGTACCTTGTCCAAAGACGAGAAGACTGACGGCGAGCTTGCACTCGTGCTTGGGTGTGTCGGGTGAACACACGATGGGCACCGTGGAGACGATGGTCAGGTTGTAGTTCCGTCCATCCTCCCGGACTATGTGATCATGCTCCTTGATCTGAGGAATATACAGCAGTGACGCTAGTGAACAGAGACAGTGGTCAGGAAGCAGATACACCGAACGTACTATCAGTCTTGTCATTCGAACCAGAACGTGTTCGTGTGTCGTATCGAATTTTAAAAATCGATTTTGAATGTCTTGGTGTTAGTTCGACGGATTTTCTGACTAAACATTTTCCCTACTCACTAAAGTACTTTACACGCAACACAGGCTTGGGCAACGTTTGAAAGTAGAGTCAGTGTTCCTGTCGTGCTAGAGAAACAAATATTTGCTTTCGCGGTGATGCAGTCATCAGTACAATTATGTTCTAATGTAGGTTCGATACCGCTTTCGGTCCACTCAGCATGATATATAATGTTCATTAAATCATGTTCTAATGTAGGTTCGATACCGCTTTCGGTCTACTCAGCATGATATATAATGTTCATTAAATCATGTTCTGATGTAGGTTCGATACCGCTTTCGGTCCACTCAGCATGATATATAATGTTCATTAAATCATGTTCTAATGTAGGTTCGATACCGTTTTCGGACCAGTCAGTATACTGTATAATGTTCAAAAGAAAATGTTTTAAGGTAGGTTCTATGCCGCTTTCGGACCAATCGATATGCAGTATAAGTTTCATAAATTCATGTTCTTAATAAAATGTAGGTTCGATACCGCTTTCGGAACAGTCAGTTTACTGTATAATATTAAAAAAAACCCGCAATGTAACCAAAATAATCTTCAACACATATTTTCATTTCAGAGGTTTAATGTTAGTCTCGCATTACTCCATCCATCTCACCTAGGTGTATATTTATTTACATTGCCTGAGGTGTCCCTAGATTCACCAGGCGAGGTGATCATTAAGATCTGAAAATGCCGAAACAAATAAACCAAAGCACTGTTTACCTTTAATCCAAGAAAATAGGGTTCACTCTGGACTTCCACGTTGGTGTCTCCACGTCTGGCACCATTGCCCAGACTCACAGTACAGATAACCTGCAAACATAACCATTCCAGTGTGTAAACGGCGTGATGTTGTTGAACGCCGCAGACAGCAATAGCCCAACTAAATCACAGCGGCTTGTAAATAACCGAATAGTGATAGGAGAAACTAGTGGTGGATATTATGAGCAACATACCACACTGCAGTGTACAATTACACGCTTTCAACCAAGTCACCGATCCTGACTACCCGATCCAATTTCGTCGCCTCTTACGACAGGCAATAGCAATATAGACCACATACCTAAATAATTGTTATCAGGTCCGTGTAGAGACTTATACAACCAGGGTGCCCACGGTGTGTAGTGAACTCATGGTTAAGCCTATGATTACTTGGAGGACAATGGTTCCGTCACCATCCCAAAACCTAACGCTTTTAGGAAGCAAAGGTTGGTATGTGTGGTCAAGATATACCTTTGCCTTTGGAATTCCGGGACAGAGCAGGCGCCATGAACCCTCACAGCGAATAAGATGGGGGTTGGGTGATAAAAATGTCTATATGACAGCATATGGATAGGTGACTGTTATACATTTCGGCGCTTCTTACATATCAAAAATAATTTAACCCAAACATTTTCATTTCAGAGGATTCATGTTTGTCTGACCTTACTCCAACCGACTGGGTTGTAACTTTAGATGAAGTGAGGTGAAAATGGGGTTTAACGTCGCGTTCAAGATTTATATAGTCACGCGCATGCACGTGTGTGTGTGTGTGTGTGTGTGTGTGTGTGTGTGTGTGTGTGTGTGTGTGTGTGTGTCTGCTTGTACTAGTCCGGACTAATGCCAATGTTATAGTGCTCGTCCACGGAGATACCATGCCGCAGTTTAACTTGAATACCCGACTCTGACAAAGAATACTGACTCCGAGCCGATCAGTCCTTGTTTTCGCCCCATAATGCCGAGCTCCAGGCAGGGTAACAACAAGTACCATCTTTTTAACGTCTATTGCTCTGACGCGGCCATGGATCGAAACCCCGACCTTCCGCTCTCCGGGCTGACGTAATCCACTAGACCACGGAGGCGGCCTCCTCCCACTTTAAACTCAAGATGCGACTATGCGCCAATGTATGGATCCTATTGTCAGTCTTGGTCTAGAGTTTCTATTGAGGGCCCCAAATGAAACTAATACCTTGTAATTAGTAACAGTTAGATTCACAATTATACAACTTAAAATTAAAACGGTGACTTGAATCAAATTTGCTAGGACTGCCATCTGCCCCGAGTCTAGTCCCCCTTTAAGAGAGAAGAACCTACGGTTTCCCCTATGCGGGCTTCATGACCAAGTCGGATTGTTTGACTGTAGAGTGCCTTGCCCCCGGAGACGATAAGTTCCTGGCCATAGTGCGTGGTCTTGTACCACAGGTAGCCGAACGTCACCCCGGGTAGATCTTTGTAGGGAAGTTCAAGGAGACAGGTCAAGGTCGCCACGTTGTTCTTGACCTCGACCTTGATGATGGGCTGGTGGTATTCGAGAGCATCCACTAACACTGGAGAAAACGTAAACGTATTGACGTCTCATTCAGGAATAGTTTACTACAATATAGTCAGAAGTATCAGCATTTTCTAGTGAACAAGACACCACCAAAAATGGATATCATTTTTAACGTATGTAATGCCTACTGATGATAGGTACATTGTAGGCTATGCACACATTCGTATGTCAAAAAAATATAAAAAGATTTTTTTATCCAAAGATTACATGACTGAGTGTGAAAAACATTAAAACATGTAAGTACTGATATATGCCATCTTTCCGAGGCAAGCGTGTCCATTAGCCTTCAAGCATATCAAAATCCAGCTTCCAGACACTAGGTTTTGACATAGGCTCATGGCCACTCTTGCCTCGGGAAGATGATATATGTATGCATTTAAATACATAATACCTTAAGGTATACTCTGTACAGATGCTTATTATAACATGATCGATTATTATAAGTTTACAAGTGATAAAAGTAATAGCACATTGCATGATGTTTTTCAGAAACAATAATGCCTGTTCAACGCACTCACGAAAAATCAATTTTAAGAGGCATATATCCCAGCACTGACTTTGAAAACAAATATCCAACTGTCCGAGAATATGCTCTAACACTATCAGCTTGATCAGCTTCTATTACGTATCCTGGATATTATCGCTAATTCATATATATATATTTCCCTCACCAACACATTGCTGCAACACCTCGTCAAACACCTGGCCTTGTTTACAGTTATGCAGGGCTAGGACAGGCTGCGGACCTGGAAGAGGAACAGGACATCAATGTCTCATGGAAACAACATCAATACCTGCTTCGATCTGTGTTTGTTAATAAAATAAATAAATTTAAAGATGGGGTATTCAACTATAATTTTATATACGTCAAAATACAGACCTCCATTTCCCATTGAAAAATGCGTCGAATTGTACCAAGCTGTGAAGTTCCCAAAAGAAAATAATTTGCTACCATGTGCTGCTGAGTGAATGTTGTTTCCTGCCACAGACCGCAATACATGTATTCCTGCTTCATCATACACCCTACGAATGGACTCGTGAAGATCCGGGGTAGAACAGGTCTTCAGCAACCCATGCATGACGTAAAAGGCGACTATGCTTGTCTTAAGAGGCGACTAATGGGATCGGGTGGTCAGGCTCGCTGACTTGGTTGATGCATGTCATCGATCCCCATTGCGTGGATCCATGCTCATGATATCAATTACTGGATTCTCTTGTCCAGACTCGATTATTTACAGACCGCCGTCATTGCTGAATATTGCTGAGTGCGGCGTTAAACAGCAAACCAACCAACCAACCAAGCCTACGAATGATCAAATGAATATAAGAAGTGAACGCCAAAGTATACCCATTCTCCATTATCAACAGAAACAGTTCTCATAAGGTGCATATGGCAAAATAGCGGTGAAAATCATATGAATGGATTACTGAAAATCAGCGTGGACACAATATGTTTGCGAAAGGTTAAACATGTCCTGCTCTGCCGATAGCACCCGCCACACACACACAATTTGCTTAAAAAGTAATTGTCTGTTGAAGATACTATGATTGGTTCATTGGCTCCATATCACACCAATGGCCAGGCTACGCATTGTAAACACACCCATAAGGTCGTTTTAGTTAGCTCCTATTTATATAATAGGAGCATGATATATGGACCTGTTCTATCTTGAAATCACCACGGTGTACGCTTCGACTAGATATTCCTGCTATTAGCAACATTATTATTTCATCTCCCGAATATGTTTCTCCTAATTCTGGGATTGAGTCATGTACACTCGTGTTCTAAGTGTTCAAAATATCACCGCACCAATACTTAGATTGGTTTGTTGGTTTGTTGTTTAACAACGCACTCAGCAATATTCCAGCCACATGACGGCGGTCCAATACTTAGAAATGTTCCAGATGCTAAAATAAAGTGATGCAGATAATAATCATAAATCAATATATATTGTAAGTCAAGATGATTATGTAATTAATCTAATATTATTCAATGTATCCATATTTGTTCATTGGTATATCCTTGTCAAAAGAAGGCGTGACATTCCACAGAAGGTTTTGTGATTGAGCCCAGCTGACCACGAACGATCATTTCCGTTGCACCATTAAACTCATCACATTGCTGATACCAAAACGAAAAGGTTCACCAGCTTGCCATAAATTTGACATCTTTTGACAGGACCACCGGGTTTTAATTTTAACCACAACATTTCACACACCCTTCAACGCCAGAACGTTACGCAATGTCGTCATACCTCGGTGTAAGTCATGCAGTGATTCTAAAATCATCTGCAAAAATATCTGGCACTTCCAGACATGACGAAGCAGAAGCCTCACCTCCACAAGCATATCCACAGAAAACATAACGAAGTAGGAGTGTTTGATGCAAGATGGAAAGATCACCTGTTCACTGTGCTGCAGAGGATTAAATGAATTTTGACGTAATAACGTTACGTAATAACGTCAAATTAGGCGTGTTGTTTTATCACAATAATTAGCTCCAGAACGTGGGTGCATGATTATATTTCCATTTCTCTCTGAACGTCGTCATAAATAAAGTTAAGTACAGACGTATATCTAAGCCACGTACATCTGTTGCGGAAGCACAGGGCTCTAGACCGTGAGTGGCGTGATTTGCTTACCGTAAATATAAGCATAAAGCGTCAATGCAGGAGAACAACCGATTTCATTAGGTGTTAAAGGCAAATTCTATCATGAATTTGGAAATTACTCGATTGTGATTGGTGAATCTGAGGTTATCAAATCACAATACCCCAACCCCCTCCATCACCGGGGGCGGTAGGGTAGCCTAGTGGTTAAAGCTTATGCTCGTCACGCCGAAGACCCGGGTTCGATTCCCGACATGGGTACAATGTGTGAAGCCCATTTCTGGTGTCCCCCGCCGTGATATTGCTGGAATATTGCTAAAAGCGGCGTAAAACCATACTCACTCACTCACTCACTCCATCACCGTAACGATGTTTATCATTAATGCCATATGGCCATGAGTTTTATTACAACAACCAAGTATCTATGGAGATACATAATTTACTTACCAACACATGTTCCGGAATCTTCGTCATAAACCTCCCCACTTTTACATATAGGTGTTGGTGCTGAAATGAAATAGATGGGATTGACATTTGCGTGTGTGTAATTACGTGTTCTGCAGTAGAAGCCATTGACAGAAGACGAAACAATGTTCTTCACGTTTAACATGAAAAGACAAAAGAAAAGCTTTATCATAGACGATGGTCCTTGTTTATTTACAGGGTTACTTACCATTACATTTTTTATTTTTTAAATCGTATGTTTCTCCTTTTTTACACGTAACTTTATGATCTGAAAAGAGAAATTAATGTTAGAACTTTGCCATTTTGCTATCAATAATATTTACCAAATATCATCATCAATTATGAACTGCCGCGCAAAAGAAAGTAATACATATATGTTTGATGGTTGCTAAAAAACGTAAAAAAGAAATGGTTATTCGATGGTGATGTACTTGAAACCTGTCAGCGACTGTTTTCAGCCTTGTAACGTTGTGATAACGATTTTGGTCCAATCCAGTTTTCAAGTGGATGCTTCTTTTGTCCGGCAGTTTAAATATGAATTTGACCAACTGATGACTAATCACGCTTGGGTTGCTCAATGCTACTGGTGGATTGATGGTTCGGAAACGTGATTATTGGTTAAGTTCATATCTTTGCATATACATCAAACTTATATCAATAAAATGGATTAAAAGAACCCAAAAGACCGAGGGAGCCTGGCCAGGAAGGGGGAGTAATCAAACACTTGTTCACTCATTATGTCATAATGGTGATGAAGATGCAGAGTTGCGTTTCTTGCTCACGCCAGGAACCCATGACTGTGGGTTCGATTCCCCGTTAGCTCCGACTATATTTCGTGGTCTGTCAGCACAATACCTGTGCTTGTGGGTTTCGCCAAAGCGGTATACGTCTTCGGGCTTTCCACCCACATGAAGCTGACACGCTGTGATATAACTGGAATACTATTCAAAGCGGCGTCTTACCTAACTCACTCACTATATGTCCAGGTACCGACCACTTAATATCCTAGTGGAGCCTGGGATTGTTAGCAACAAAATATGTTCGATCACTGCTATAAAATAAATTGTTTCGCTAAAAGCAGGATCCGAACAATGATTTTTCACAACACATTTTTGTCAGGATATCATGATTGTCCAGCGAAGAATTATGGTTTTCTGATGTCTAAATTGAGGTAAAACTTTTATTTCAATATTTTATTTTCAAATGGTCGGTCTTAAATGATCTACATTCCCATGAAGACTATCATCATACTTACAGTCTAAACAATAAGCTATATCACATCCAAGTGAAGATTGAAGTCTATACAAAAAGAAATCTTCACAATTATGCACATGAACCTCGAATGCATAGAAACAACAGTCTGGATCCGACCCCGGAGTGGACCATGATGCGCATGCGCGACCGGAAACTTGTCTACCGGGTTCCGGTAAACCATTTTCGAGATCCAACCAGATCGGAGCTTGTGTTCCACATCTGTTTGTCTGCAATGAAAAGGGGGGTAATAAATGTAAGGTTATGTCTTCGCACTGTGATGTTTATCGTTGGAAATTGGCTTCAGTCAACCACAATCTTCACTGCTTGGCTGAAAACGACAGTAACTTGGCGGTAGAGAAAGACTAAGTACTACATTAATAGCTCTGCACTGTCCCATGACTGTCTGTTTACCTGCAATGTCGACAGATTCCAGGTTAACCTAATCTACCAATACCAACATACTGTCTCATGGCAAAGTGATCTACCGATGGTTACATACCCTTTGCCATCTGATCTTCAGAGCCATCATATACCCTTCAGTCATCTGATCTAATACCAACCATGTACTCTCATGACCTCCTGATCTCTAGATGCTAATATGTGATCCAATGATTATCTGGTCTCACCATGTCAAAATAGTACCACATGGCTACCTGATCTTACATTGCAAACATACCATTCCCTGGTTACCAGATGGCCCAAACATCATCCTTTGACCACGGGTCTCCCTAGATAACATAGCAAGGGTATCTTTTGTAAGAGACATGATTTTAGGCCACTCTTTCTAAACATGATTTCTTTTGCTGTGAAAAGTGGGATAAGCAATTTAATTTTGTTCATACACATTTTTTTCAGGACATCCAACTACATTTCTTTTGGTACTGTTTTTTCCTTATCTGGAACAAATTATTCGTTTGTAAAACCATCCTACCCCAGAATATCAAACAGTTTGTCCCAAATCATTTTCCAATGACAGTTTGATTTCCGAATCAGTGCTTGCTCATATCATCATACGAAGGTAGTATCCATGCCATCTAGATACTTAGTCTCAGTATCAAAAGGCCAAATGATTTCATTGACACCAACATACACTCCAAGCTTACCTCCTCCTCTCCATGTTATGGTTATTGATTTGGATCAGTTAGTTTTGCAGACAGTTTAAAAGGGCTTCACAGTATATTAACAGCAAGGCAGTCACGAACGCAGAATCTGGTCATATTAAACAGAAGAGCACACATGGTCACCAAACACACTCCACATACAAACCGTTTGAAAACCTTTCGAAATAAAGCCAAGTTGCTTTGTATCTAAACTCTAGAGCAAATGAAAGTATGCATGTTTCATGATGGCCAAAACTGAAACAAACAAGAAATGTCAAATCGATGGTGATGTACTTCATACGGGTATCAAAGTTATGTTTTGGACAGTGTTTGGCGACCGTTTTAGCCCAGTAAGGTTTTGATATTTTTAAACATTTGTATTTTTTAGCCCAAAATCCAAGTGTACACGTTCTTTTGCTCGACACTATTTAACGCTCGGAATGAAGGAAACACACTGGTGTTTATGCTCTGCTTATTGTAAACATTTTAACGATCCCCTGTCTTTGACTTATTTCCTCCTTACCACAACTTTAAGATGAAGTTTAAGATACTACTTGGAGTGAGTTGTAGACTTGTATGTTGTGGAAACAGCAAAAGAGACCCTCTGGCATGTTATCCACATTTCAGAACGTCCAACTTGTCGTACCTCGCTTCCAGAGCACGTGTCGGTGGCGTGTGCCATCCATGGAGACTGTTACAGATTGTATCAATACCTCTTAGCTTTTTCATTTAGGATTCATTTCAAATGACCACATTCCTGTTAACTACCGACAGGTTTCAAATGTTGTTAAGGGGTTATATACGGGAACAAATTCCAAAAGGACTGAAAAATGTGTGCGTTGTTCCACGTTGGGGGGCATTTTTGGTAGTTTTCCTTACCTGATCATATACCACTGCGGTGCAAGAAGGTAAGCTTAGGTATTTCATTATTTGGTAACGGAAAGTTACCGTTCTATTTTCAGCCAAGAAAAATAGCGCGTGTTAACCACTCGTCAACGGGAGAGACTTTTTCTGCTTTGACAACCTGGAAGCCTTTGATCATGAAACACTGCTTTTCAGTTTTGAGCCAAGACTATCTTCCGCCAAATACATGACATATGTCCCTGTGTCACCCCCAAATGATCTGGCAGCTCTGAAGAGGTTCACCGCAAAATTGATATATTCTATTGCCTAGGGTAAAAATAGTGTTTTTATCCTAACATAATTAGGTTTTAGACAGAGGCATCATTGAATACCGGGGATCCTGGGTAAGAATATAGATCCCCAGCAACCAGTACTTGTTACTAAATGGAGCGGGTGGTCAGGCTTGGTTGATTGCATGCCATCGTACTCGATGTAAATCGTCAGGTCCAGACTCTATTATTTACAGACCGCTGGACATAACAAAAGACATACTCTCTGTCTGTCTGTCTCTCTCTCTCTCTTCCCTCCTCTCTCTCTTCCTCTCTGTCTCTCTCTTTTTCTCTCTCTCTCTCTCTTTTACCCCCCTCTCTCTCACACACGACCTCGAACACTTGGACAAAGAACGTACAGTACTATTTCCTACTTATCTTATCATAGATACATTCTTCTTACATTACTCATAAAGCACACTCCATTTTTACCCTGCAATGTGCTTCGTTTATGTAACCACTGAAAGTATGATTGTGAGATAATGTCACAAATATCCTGCCCCGATATACACACCTACTGCTGGGTCTGTCTCCTGCATTTCTCACTTAATCCTACCAGACGTTGAAATGTGGGCCATGCGGCTTCTCCGTCATACACAAGCCCACATATATCCGCATTCCTAAGTTCCTCAGGACTATATGTGTCTATGGCTGTCGGATGTCCGTGATGCAGCAGATACACTCCGCGTCACTGTGTGACAAGGTTCAATGTCTATGTCTTGCGTTAAGGTTGACACGCATTTTCTAATCTAAATTATACCATGGTAGGCTTGGTCACAGGAGTATCTTGAAGGCATGTTAGGATACGTGTGGGAGTTGGGTTTCGTGCCACTTTATTCAGTATTTCAGTTCCATCGTGTAGTGGGTAGGTAGCCAAGAGGTTAAAGCGTTCGCTCATTACGTCGAATGGTCGGGTTCGATTCCCCACATGGGTATAATGTATAAAGACCACTTCTAGTATCCCCGCCATGATATTCCTGGGATATTACTAAAAGTGGCGTAAAAATATATTCTCTCACTCAGTCATTTCCGCGTTACTGGTCACATACCTGTACACACTTGCTGGCCATGACGGCGTTTGACCCATTGACCATGAATCTGTACCAGCCTATGTCCAGTCCGATGTCACACAGCTTGTCCCCCTTCTCATCGGTGACGTAGTTGATGTAGCGGCGGTAGTCGTCAATGACGCGGTACCGACCTTCATGGCATGGGTCTGTCAACGTGGAAAGGACAACATCAGCAATGCATCAGATAGACATCAAGAAACGGTTAAAGGAAGCTATCAATCGATAAACAAGGGCTGGAAGACCTAAGGTTGCACGTGACATAAAATGCCCTTTCTACACAACGCACCGGTATTATGAATAACAGTTAATCTGCATGCGTAGAAAACCTTAACACGTTAATGTTCGTTTGGTATTAAGCAGCGATTGGACCGAGTGTTCGATGATTACCTTTAGGGTGTGATGAAACCTGAATGTACCCATCACCTCGCGAATATTTCTTTAGTTTGTTAGAGTTAACTTCTGATATTACGAACTGAAATGCAGGCACAGTTCGGTAAATACGAAGTAAAATCGACTGCCCCACCAGTGGTATCATACATTGCTGGTTAAAAAGATATCCACGGTGTAAGAGCTTCTTTCTACTGAGTTAATTTCTTGTTTATGTCGAATCATGCAATATGGCGTCTAATTTGCTGAAAGTAATAGTGTCTGAAGTACTTCTAAATTTATTACGTAAACGCCAGAGTTCAACCAGGCTCAATTATCCACCGGAACAGATTCCATTGCGCGGAAAAGGCAAAATGACAATGAAAAGCACGCAAAACTCGCTCCGTCTTATCCGTTTCTCGGTCTGTTAGTTCACGTCTAGAGCCTAGAGTCACCAGTTTGATGTAATGAAAAGCATATTGGCACAACATGTTCAAATAATTATCATGTCTTCTCTTCAATCAAAATGTTAAAATCAGCCCATTTAAGCAACAAATGAATTCATCACACAAAACAGTTCTTTGGAAACATTGAACGTATTACACATACTTCTATATTTCTGGAGGAGGTTAACAAGAGCATTATCTTAAATAAAGAAAAAGTGTGACTGGGAAAAAACATAGGTTGGGTAGCACGTGAAACGAGACATAATTTATAGAATACAACTTTTATAAAAATTGCAATATATTGCCATCTTTTATCTCTTTGAAAATTTCAAAGCAGTGAATTATTGAATTGCATACCCTAGTTTTACACCAAAGGCATTAAAATGTCATCATCTGAATATGTACATGATGCGTACACTGATTGTATTTCATAATAACGAGCCGACGAATATATATTTTTTGACTGGAGTATGGAATACCCATCAAGACAACTAGAAAAATCAACAAAGAAAAACCAGAACACAACACCCTCTGTATCCAGGACGTGAGGCAGACCGAAATATGTTCCGGCAGTCAACACATAGGCATATTCAGTAACACAAACTATCTATATCTATCCAGAAAACACATGTCACCACTCACCCGTCAGCCGTCATGGCGTCTTTTTTTCATTTTGTAAAAGAAACACAAAAAGAAAAAACCTTCTCGTACATGTATATGTTAAGAACTAAAAGGTTTGTCAAAAATTTGATTACAGTTTTTGACAAATAGTTTTCATCATAACAATCCAAGCAAGACCGATATTAATTTCTCTGCCGATGAAATGTACATGTTGAGGGTGTAATACATATCTGTCAATCAGCATGTCGTATATAAAAGCTACAAAACCGTTTCCATAATCATAAGAAATCTCTACTACGTCAGAATGGCTACGTCTGCAGTTGACATATATACGGTTCCACATGCCTTTTGACGCGTGTCTTTGAACTCCAAGGATGTTATTTCTGAGAGTTTATTGAACATTAAATGCCTAATGCAGATGCCTTGATGTATTTCACGTAACAAGATATCGACGTAACATATGCATGTGTTTCTAGGCCGGAACCACTTAATGACGATGCTCGTATGGTAATTGCATAACTCTTTTGATATTTTTAACCATATTGCTTACATCATTTAACCAACATCGCTAATTCTTTGATATTTACAATTTCTCGTGCATAACAAAATTTATCATTTTGAGGTTCTTGGGCTTTGGGCATATTTGCTGTTCATTGGAAACTATGAAACTGACACACCATGTGTTGAAATCAACCTTCAGTGCTGCGAATGTCAGGGGTGTGATTGATTGATATGAGCATGCGTTGCATGTCGCGAGTCTGTTAACATGGGAGATAGGTACCATGGCCCGTAAACTGAAGTATGCGTTTGAGAATTGCATGGATGTATGAAGACTATTTCGTAGAAAGCAAAAGACGGTGACATTTGTGAGGGTGTTATTATCAACCTTACGTCACGTGCGTGCATCTTGCTTCGCAAAGTATGTTTATCTGAATACAATAAATAATTAATATACAGCCACCGCCTTTAGTTATTACTTTTACGTGCCCCAAACACTTCAATGTGAGATGAATGTTTTGGTATGTTCACTACGTTTTTATCTCATTACATTGTATTTCTTAATAGATCCAAAGTAATCTGTTTTCCTGGCGAGGGACCTTCTTGAAGTTTCACTTATAAAACTCATTCCCACTTCAGAAGTGCACACAGAAGGCTTCATACAAACCGTCTCCGTTTCTTTTCGAAATAAATTTTAATACATCGACGATGATCGTGCACAAACTTGACTTAAACCCTGTTTATATACACTCACTTACCGCCCACTAGGATAAATATACCCGCGTGGGCAAAGGGTAGTAGAAAGTGGTTGTGTGTATATGCACTGGTATACTTGGGGCAGTTCATTATGATATCAATCAATTTAGCTCATTTGAGACAAAACAAGTTAGTTTGGACGTGGTGCTCGGGGAAAGAGAAGGCAACGTTGACACAGGCGTAGCTTTAGCTATAAGCTCGTCTTTTCGATAAGAAGGTCTTCATGAAGGAAAGATGCAGAAGTTGGGGGAACGATATTGTTTTGAAAACATTTAATGAAGATCAATGGCTTGAAAATTGCAGGATGTCCCAAGCCCTGTTTCAAGTCATCTGCCTACAATTGGAGCTACATTTGCGCCGTTCATCAGACGTTAGAGAAGCCTTGACCTCTGAACAACGCGTTGCAGTAGCTGTGAACTTCTTGGTCAATACAGTGAAGTACTGAACCAACGGTAACTTGTTTGGAATAGCCAGGTCAACAGTGTCTGCGTCCATGACGTCTGCGGAGCCACATATCAGAGGATGTTCAATGAAATGGTCAGATTTCCACGTGGGGTTGCCTCGAGGGAGGTTATTGATGTTATAAAGACAAATGGAACTTTCAAACTGTACAGGAGCAATAGAGGACATTGTCCTCCTGGCTTCTGAAACCATTCAACAATAGAGGACAGCTTACAGCAGAACAGCCGTGCTTAACTACCGTTTCAGCAGTGCCCGTATGACGAATAAGAACACATTCGGACGGTTCAAAGGGAGATGGAGGCGTTCCCTCAAAGGCGTTGCGTTGATATCAATTTCGTGTCAACCCTTGTGGGTGTAGCTTATCGCACTACACAACCTTTGTGAAAACAAAGATCAGCCCTACCTACCATGGCGTGCTGCATACACAGAACCACAGACTACGTTGCAGTCAGAGATCAGCCCTACCTACCAGACTGGCATGCTGCATACACAGAACCACAGACTACGTTGCAGTCAGAGATCAGCCCTACCTACCATGGCGTGCTGCATACACAGAGCCACAGACTACGTTGCAGTCAGAGATCAGCCCTACCTACCAGACTGGCATGCTGCATACACAGAACCACAGACTACGTTGCAGTCAGAGATCAGCCCTACCTACCATGGCGTGCTGCATACACAGAGCCACAGACTACGTTGCAGTCAGAGATCAGAGATGAATTGACAACTGTATGAGATTATAGGCAATACCTCGGCAATTAGATTAAAATAAATCTGAAATGACATGTTGTGCTTTGACAACAACTATATAACCATGAAATTTCCCATAGCGAAGTATTCATATCTTGAATTTGAAAGTAATAGCTTTAATTACTGTATCTATCATTGCAAGACAGTGAATTAAGTAAGGCAAATGTTGAAATACGTTTATTTGCACATACGCAATTTACCCGGGGGTAAACACATTTGCCCTACATCCGGTGCTAGGGCAAATTTACCACCGGGGATGAATGCGTTTATATGCCCCGAAGGCCAAATATACCCACTAGGTAAACATATCCCACGTGTAAATAGATGCATCTAAACATGGCTTAAGCGTACGAAAGCAAAGTGCATTTATCGTCGAGTTTGCACAGAAAACTTGCGTTGCTGTTCCTACAGTCGACATTGCAAGCTCTTTGTTTATGTGTCAACACGCCAGCGCATTTGTCAAGTGCTGTGTATGTCTTCTCATGATGCATGTGCTTGACACAAACGTCAAACATGGGATTCTCTAGAATCTAAATCGCTATTTTAAACCTGCAAACCAGTTTTTAAAAAGAACAAACCCATTACCCTTAAATCGCGGGTATATAGGCCTGACTGATACAACTTGTTCTTATCTCATACGAAGAGCACTTGTGAGGAGAGGTGAAATGAGGCTGAACGTCGCGTCCAAGATTATTGCACCAACATAGCGACGTGCATGCACGTGTGTGTGTGTGTGTGTGTGTGTGTGTGTGTGTGTGTGTGTGTGCTTGTGCGTGTGCGTGTGCGTGTGCGTGGTTGCTTGTACTGGTCCGGGCTAATGCCGATTTTATCGTGCACCCCACAGAGATACCATGCCGCAGTTTAACATGAATACCCCACTAAGACACAATATACTGACCCCAGCCGACCAGTCCTTGTTTAAGCCCCTTAATGCTGAGCGCAAAACAGGAGAGCAATTTAACGTCTGTTGGTATGAACCCAGACCTAGACCTAGAGTGAGTGAGTGAGTGAGTATGGCTTAAAGCAGCTTTAAGCAATATATCACGGCGGGGGACACCAGAAATGGGCTTCACACATTGTACCTACGTGGGGAATCGAACCCGGCTCTTCGGCGGGACGAGCTACACCACCGCCCACTCTACCACTAAACCACGGAGGCGATACAAGGGTAATACATGAAACACCACTGGCATACATTTATGAGTGAGTGCGTTGGGTTTAACGCCGCTTTTAACAGTATTCCAGTT